GTTCCTTGTCTAACAGAGGTTCAGATACCTCCTTGCATATCCTATGTTCCTGTTACATTTTCGGATTTTCAGCCGCAATCCGACAGATGCCAGCAGTTTCTCGCCAAGTGTAGCGACTTATAGTTCCTTGAGAACGAGTTTCGAACACCAACTTGTACAAGCCGCAAGCTGTGCGCCTAGCGTCGAAGTCTTAACGATATTCGATGTTAAGCAAACAGAGTGCAGAACACCGCTAGGATAGGTGACCGTCCAGCCTAGCGAGTAGTTAGAACAACAAGCGTCTGGAGTAAGGGGTCGCTGCCATCAGCCCCACTGATGAGTCTAGGCAGCGACTCTGAGACGAAACGCACAACCTTTCCTCACCTTACCCACATTACCATCTCCTACATTATCCTCGCATCATCATCAACACTTTCAATCCCTTCACAAGAATTACGTAGTGAGATTAGTTTCATTTCGCCGCCACGCAACGTCTCATTGAGCAAATTTTCATTTGCAAGAATATTAAATATTAAATAATAATTTAATTTATAAGCTTTTACAGTGGCATCTGTTTGATTATACTCTCATCTTTCTTCCTTTATAAATAATAAGACAATTGACAAACTTCTTTTCAAGATTTTATTTCAGAAAAATAATGTTAGATACAGTATTACATACATATGAATAATTTAGTCTAGCAAATGAGATATTAATTTTTAGACTTTGAACGTTTCTTGATTAAAAATAGATTAATAGATCAGCCATGATATAAAAAATAAATACAAATATTGCAAATTCTTTATGTGAAACTTTAAAATTAACACAATCGTAGAGCATCAGTTCAGGCAATCGATGCAACAATTATTCATAATTAATTATTTAACAATAAAATACACCAGTAGAGATACACGAGACATACTTTAGATTCTGCAAGGCTGAAATTTTACAAATATATTATTAAAAGCGAATAATTTATTAATCTTTATTGATTCATTACAAAATAACAGAAACACCTACCTAGAAAAGTACATACCAGAGTGATCAAAGTCTTCAATTATTACTAGTTACAATCTACAGGTATAAGCTGCTGAACTTTTCAACAAATATGTAACAATCTCTTTTTATTTCCATATCTTATTTCTCAATCTCCTCAACTAAGATTCAGCTTCAGAACATTTCATTAGTTAACGCTTCAACAATCGCTTGATTTTGTTAATCGTCACTCTGCAATAATTAATAAGTAACTAGTAATTGACAAATTAATTGACTAATAATTGAAAAATTTCGATCGTACTTTATAGTATAAAAAACAAGAGCAATAATTCTTCACGTAAGCCCAGTTAAAGCAAATCGAAACAAAGTCGATGCATCTTGCAACCGGCTGCTTCGTGAACGTCTCCTCAGTCACATCGTGCACAGAAACGTGACTGAATGAACTAGCAATTGTATTTTTGTTCCTCTGATCTTCATTTCACGATCGTCGATGTAAATGCAAAATTTGTTTTCTTATATTCCAGAGCGTCGACTCACTGAAACAGATTGTAAATTGCAAATGTAAGAACGAAAGCGAACAAAGTTGAAGTTAACGATCGGTCTCACGTGAGATGATCGATCCGTCGGACGATTTTGTCGTACAATCTCCATTCTAGCCGCGACAAGATAAATCTTTATTGTTATCTATCTACCTTACCATCCGGAAACTCGGCGAGTCATAATTCCGCGGTAATGACATTTGTGTCACACGCGACATATACTCTACGTTTCACCTGCTAAACGTTCACTCAAGGTCTCCGTATTAATACGCATGCATCTTGAGGCAACTTCATCCGATGCGCCTACGCGTCTCATCGACGGTCACACGGCATCCTTCTCGAACAGTTTTCTGAAGAGTATCTCCTCGTGCATCAAGCTTGGTCGTTCGATCGCACTTGTTTTATTTATGCTGGATTGGACCATTTTCGTTAGCCTTCTCTCTTTCTCGCTGTCTCTCCTTGTCTCTCTCTCAACGATACATGTAAGTCTCCCTACTACGATTCTCCGATTCGCACACGTCAACTTCCATCTCGTCTCTGTTACGCTTAACGCAACCCGTTGTTTCATCCAAGGAGCCTTTCTTTGATTATACTCGCGAGCTGTTGACGTTCAGTAACAGTTCTTTGTCTTCTTCGTGATTCTTGTCGACTTGGCAATAGTAGGTTAGATTGACATCGTGCTGGCAAGGTACGCGCGCGTCGCAATAAAATCTTTTTCCACGAGCGTGTACAACTTTCACCAGTATTGTCACTTTAAACGGTACACTTTAACGAATACTTTCTTACATTGTTTTATCAGCTGTATTTCCTGACGAGGTTCATGGTATTTTTCTTGTACACGGATGTAGCTAGATGTGCATCCTTTGAACTTGAATTTTTGTGGAGTCTATAAATCTGTTTGATTTTACAGAATGTCATTGTGTCAATGAAATAGAAGACTCCAGACCTGTGTGTAAACTGTTCAACTTTAATCAGATATTGCACAAGATTGTAATATTGACAAAATTATGGATACCGATCCACCACAGTTTGTGTCGAAAGATGATGAAATTCAATATTGGATGGAACTCGCTCATCAGATACATAGGAGGTGAATTATTTTTATGCTTCTGCGTTCTTCAAATGTAGTTTATTGTTTTATGCTTGTGAAATATTCTTAACTATATATGCGGTATGAGTCACTGAGAAACTATATTGATCAATGTAGAATATAAAAAAGATCATGTTTGTTGTTCTTTATAATCTGTTTATAATGAATAAACTTGTAAAAATAAGTTTCGTTTTTAGAGAAGTTGAACAATTACCGTGAAGTTAATAAAAAGTGATTTAGTTTAGCTTGTTAAAGATTCATTGTTAAATTTTGTTATAACATCACAGGAAAGAGGACATAGAAAGGGAATTAGAGGAATTTCAAGAAAATTCGCAGCTATTAGAAAAAGAACTGGAAGCATCCTTAGAACAGGCAGAGAAAAATAACAGAGAACTACGCCAACGGAATACAAGACTAGCCACTGAAGTTGAACAATTAAGAACTAGATTGGATCAACAAACAACAGACTGTGCAATGTTTCAAGGGAAAGCTCAGGATTTACAGACACAACATGATCATTTATTAAAGTACATAAGGGAATTAGAACAAAAAAATGACGACTTGGAAAGAGCTCATAGGTATTTGAAAATTGCATTGTTATTACTAACATCTACTAAGTAAATGTGGTATTTAATATAACATGTTTCTTATCTATTCTCACTTTGCAGAATAAATAGGGTAACAGAAGAAGAGATAGAAGCCAAACTTAATTCTGCCATTGAAAAGAATGCTTTGTTAGAATCAGAACTTGATGAAAAGGAAGCTCTAAAAGTTATAGTACAGAGACTGATGGATGAAATTAGAGGTCGAACAATTAATTGACAAACCTTCGATAACTAATGACTAAACTTTTGCTAATAATTTGTTTATTACAGATTTAAAACAGGAAATTCAAGTTCAAGAAAGGCATCAACCAGATAATGATAAGTCAGCTGATAGAGTTCGTAATCACGTTGATAGTAATAAACTTCAAGTCGAATTGGAAACACATATGTCGCCTAGTAACCCAATAGTACCACAATCCATATCTCCAAATAATACAACAACTTCGCCATTAAAAAGTAAGATCCATAATACTCTTCGTAAGACTAAGCGCATGTTTTGCTTTGGACCTAAAAGATGATCTTTATCGTTATTAAAAATAATAATTAACATACAGAATACTTGTGTCTAACATGTCGAATGGATAAGAATGGATATAGATGAAAAGTTTTAACCCAATTAACTTTTCAATTTAATGTATATTTTTTGTATATCATCTGACATTTTTTTCTTTTATGATAAATGAATTTGCTTATTTCTTGGTATTTAAGGCTGACTAAACAGAAGTTGGTCTAACATTTGTGCTTGATTAATATACCTTTATATGCTTTAATTAATTTTATCTTTCTGTATATATACCTATATATATGATATTGTCATTAATGAAATAAAAATTATTTTAACAAACTTGTCCTTTATTTTAGTTTCTGAATATACTTTCAAATAAAATTTTTTTTCTTTTTTTTTTATTGAATTATCATTGTGTAGTATTTTTATTTCTTATCTTGATATCTTATCATTACATTTATATAGTAATTTATATCTTTTTTCCTGTTCACAATTAGTTGGAAACAGAGTTGTAACTGGAAACAACAACAATAATAATAACAACGTGAATCCATCATTGACACCATGCACAAGAATATTAGCGATGAACATGATTGGTGATCTTATGAGGAAAGTTGGTGTAAGTATAATCATTATCTTTCATACATATATATGTAGTTCTTTTGTTTCAAAGGAACATTTGATGTACAAAGATAGCTTCAAGCATGGCTTGTGTATTTTTGAGTTTTAAAAATTATATTTAGTTGTCATAAAAATATTGCGTTTTAAATTGGCAACTATTCTAATTTATGTGCTTTATTTCTCTTGATTTTATTTAAGCATTGATTTATTTTATCTGATGTACTTTCGTTACATGGTAATTTGAGCCAAATGATGATGAATTTATGTGATTTAGTTCATATAAGATTTTTTTAATCATCAGCTGATGATACTGGTAGTGTGATGTAGTTGGTTTGGTAGCTTGACAGGTGGGTCTGCATGGACTGTAGGAAGTTAAAATGCACTTGTCTTGGTGGGAAAAATACAATTTCCACTACACCTACTGATTTACCATCCGTCCAGGTTCACGTACCTACTCATTGTGTACGACAACAACCTAGATCAACCAAATGCTGATCAAGCTTTTTGTGTACAGGTCTTTATTTGATTTCTTTTGCTTTCTCTTGTATATTTTTTTCTGTACACATCATACATGGTTCCTTGCCACCCGCTTTAATTGTCCTCCATGTAATTGGCATCACCAACTTTAAAAATTAGCCCTTAATATTCAAAATAAGGGCAAACAACAATAATATTTTTAAGGAAAATGATAGTATCTCATTTAATAATAAATGTTTAATCACGTAGGCATTGGAGAATAAGTTAAACACATGTCAAAATCCATCTCGAGAGGATCAAGCCGTTCGCGATCTTTACAGGTAACATTAGAATAATATTATAATTTAAAATGTCAGTTTTTATATCGTTATGCAATGCGTGTATTCGTAGCAATAAAATATCATGTATCAAATATTCGAAAGTGAACATTGGAAGAAATTAATAAAATTCTCTCAATGAAAAATTTTCTTCAATGAAAGAGCTCAAGATGACATTGCCTGAAATGATACATGATAGTCGTACTAAATCATTTGTACTTAGTAGTTTTATGTCTACTTTTAGTTACGTAATGCTTCCTATGAACATTAAATTTACGAATTTATAGATAAAGATAGCTTTTCATGGTCCCAGTTCTCTAGCTTTTTAATTGTTAAAAATGTATTTAAAAAGACTGCATCACATTATGTTACTAATTGAAACGGAGCATTTTGTTTTTCTTTTTTATGTTTATGTGTAAATTGTTTTAGTTATTAGTAATAAACAAAACTCAGACAAAGCGATCAAAATTAATTATAAAGTAAATATTAAAAAGTAAGTTTCAAGCATTTGTACGTTTAATTCTTTTTAGTTCCATAACTTAACGTTATTGTTTACTGTATGTTAATTTAAATGTATGTTTTATGTAACAAGCTTATAATTAGCTGTGTAGCTTTTCTTTGTGATTCAAAGAGTACAATATACTTTTATTGTAATCTGTTAAGATCTTAATAATCTAACTTTTAGAAAAGGAGTATTTTTTAATTCTATATATTTTTTTAAAAAACTAATGAAAAATTATGAAAGATTTTATTGTTCCATGATTATTAAGATCCTTAATAAATCAGATTAATGTTTACATCAAATAGTTAAATGTATGTATTAAATGTATGTAGAATATACTGTTACTGGTATGATGTGAAAAGCCAATAGAAGCCTTTGCTGTTGTACACATACATGTTATAGATATACCAAAAATAATTTTTAAAAAGGACTAAATTTTCGAGTCAATTACATTATACAAAATTTGGCTTCCAGAATTATAGACTTTATAAATTGAAATTGAATATAAAATTTAGTAAAGGAAACTTTTATTACAAAATAAAAATAATTTAAGTATGCTTAATATCACTAAAAAATTCTCTTATACATTGGATTGAGCCAATAGGCGAAAAAGATATTTCTAACTAGATATTATTAAATTTTGTATATCATCAATGCAGTAATAAGTTAAGAAATTTCAACATTTGTATACTTGTATATAATGATTGCATGTATTATTAAAAGTGAATGAAATTGAAAATTTTTTTAGATTTTAAGATGCAAAGTATGTAGCATTGTAATCATTAATTCATTATTCAAAAAAATCTTAAGAAATACTAATAAAAATGAAATTGTGTTGTGCATAAAAAAAATATTCATGGCTCAATCTAATTCCATATTAATGTTGCATTAGAATAATACTCTTTGAAAATTCAATTTTAAGAGTCATGACTTTTTTTGTAATATGAAGAAAGAAATGTCAATTAACAAACTTCTTCTACACAGGGATTCATCATTAATCGCATTGTTAATTTTTGCATTTTCCCTGTTTCCCTGCATGATGTGTTACTTTCTTGTATCTTGTTAGTAATGTTCACAAAGTGTATAAATAAAATTTTTCAGAGTATTTTTCATATCAAACTGTTGGATATATATTAAATCTGCACATTATAGAATTTTTATCTTGTTTCTGTTTCATTTAAATCATACATTAACACCAAATCTTAAAAAAAGCGAACATCATTAAATTGTAATTCAAAATATTTTTCATATGTACAGTTGCACAATTCATAAACATGTACAGCATTTCTCAATCTTTTCTGTTTCTGCTCTCACAACTAGTTATATATAATTTAATTTATTAAACAAAGTAATGACAAAACTAAGTTTAAATAAGGAAGTAATATTCCAGATGTAATTAAGTATTTTTGATTAAGATTGAGAAATGCTGATTTGAATAGATATATTTGTAACACTAAATTTTTTTAACTTAGGACTAGACGACAAGTTCGAGGTTTTGCCTCTGGCAACAGCAATCACATTCGATTATAAACAAGGGATAATATTCCAATAATAAAAAAATTTTTTGCATTGTATTCATATGACTAATTTATGTTATTTTGATTAACAAAAATCTCACGTGCTAATTTATTATAAATCTCTATAAGTAAGACAGGATTATTTAATGTAATTTAATTATTTAATTATCATTTTACATCAAATTCGCAATTTTTTAGTCATTATTTGTCTCTTTTTTTATCATAATTCAAAAGTATACTTAGTAATATCTTATTTAGGAGTAAATTTGTAAATAAATAATCGAAATTGTAAGTCTCAATACCATTAATAAATGATTTAATAAAATTCATCATTGTGATAAGTGATAATTCTAAATAATTGTGTAGGTATTCACAAATGATATTAAGGGAAGACACCAGTTATCTTTCAGATAAATTTTTGCAAATACAAATATTTTTCCATGCTATTCTTTAGATTTTATTTAAATCACATAAGACTTCATCGTATAATTAATTATATTTTGGAATTTTAAATTTATTTTTATTAAAAATAATTATGTTGCAAAATTTAAATCTTTATCTCTCCATTACTTCACAAACAAATGGTAAAAAAATTCATGTTTTTTCAATGTTCCTATTCTTAGCCTCTATCTGAGTATCTGTTTCTTATAAAAATATTGAAATTTACTAATTATAATTTTCTTTAGTGTAATAACTTGTTTATCCACAAAAATATTTTGATTACTAAAGAGAGATGTGTATTTATAAAATTTTATCTAAAAAATAACTGAAAGTTCAATTTTGCCTAAGTATCTTCCCTTAAGTAATTTGTGAGCTTTAGTTTCGAATATATATAATTTCTAGCACGATTAAAACTTCAGCTACATTAGAAATGATATTGTAACAATGATATTGTAGTGCAAAATTTAACTTTTATAGGAAATTAGGTATTTATATATATACAAATATATATATTTAGATACTTATATATATATCTATTTTTTAATAATAAAAGAATATCCTCTCATGTCATAAAATAATTCAATTTTATACTTTAAAATGTGTAAAAGCTATTTAATTATTTATTTCTATATAAATTATATGCTTTAAGCTACTGTGTAATCATAAATAATTTCAAGTTTGAGATATTTACATAAAGTAGAATCATGCTAATAAAACCAAAAATTGAAATATATTCAATTATAATATTGGAACATTATTAATTTATAGATTCCGCTTAACGTATAAAATAGAAATGAAAAATTATATTTAAACGCAATAAATATTACCGATTTGTGCAAATTAACTGTGAACTGTACTTTGAAATGAAAAATTATAAGAATTTACGTAATATTTGTAACATAAATTTGTAAAAGTATAAACTGAACTATTTGTAAAATAAAGATATTGTAAACTATTTCTCAATTATTGTAGAATTAAAATTTCTAGAACCTAATTCATCTGATGTGTATTTCTCGTAAGATAAAAAAAAAAAGGTAAGTTAGTATTATTTTGAAGATTTATTTATGAAACGTTTATCTTTACACGAACAATGAATAGTTGACTGATTGAAATACCTTATGTAATTTTCATACAACCAGGGATCTAAAATGGTAAACACTACATTGAATTCCTACAAAGAAACTGTCTTATTCTCTAATGCACATTTCACAATGTATTATACCAATAATGATAATGACGACGAATATAATAAAACTGTAATGAAAAACTTTTTTGAGAACATTTATAAGTTTACTCAATCTTAATAGTACTTTTAGAAGAATTAACAATTTGACTTGTTTTTTTATCACGATCGTTTGCTTTTCAGTTTCAAACTTTTTTTTCTGTTTTTTAGGAGTATCCTTACATTGTAGAGCATAAAATGAAAAAAAAAATATATGAATGAAATTGAAGAATCAACATTTGTAATTGATAATTTTTCGAAAAAAAACAACATACGTTTCTACGTTTGTACAATAATACCAAAAGTTGGGAACTACCTACATATTAAAAACAGTTTATACCGATTTTCGTATCTACTTTTTCAGAAATCTGAATTTTAGATACGTATTATAAAGGATGATCATATCATAACTTGTACACTATTATGAAGTACAACATAATACGTAGCTTGGAATGAAAATGTTTCATCCACGACTGTTACGAATGATAATAATAATAGTAGTAAATGGTATGTATGGGAGTTACATATTATTTAAGCACGCTCGCCACGAATTCGTCGGGCCAGCTGGATATCCTTGGGCATGATTGTTACACGCTTCGCATGGATGGCGCACAAGTTTGTGTCCTCAAACAAACCGACCAAATACGCTTCTGATGCTTCTTGCAAAGCTCCGATTGCAGCACTTTGAAAACGTAGATCAGTTTTGAAATCCTGTGCGATTTCACGAACTAATCTTTGGAAAGGTAATTTTCTGATCAGCAACTCAGTTGACTTTTGGTATCTTCTGATTTCTCGAAGAGCTACTGTACCAGGTCTAAAAATTATAATTATAATTGTATATATGTATATATAACATTTAATATTTATACATGTTCAATATTATTAATTAATATTAATATTTATCCATAATCTAATATCTAGGATATACCTGTATCGATGTGGTTTTTTTACACCACCAGTGGATGGTGCACTTTTACGTGCTGCCTTTGTAGCTAGCTGTTTACGAGGTGCTTTACCTCCAGTTGATTTACGAGCTGTCTGCTTAGTACGTGCCATTCTTCACTCTGAAATAATATAAACTTGATTAAAAAAAGACTAATCATATATTGTTTTTAACCAAATCAGAAAGTTTTAATTGAAATGTAGGAAAAGCACGAACTCTACGATTCCCATTATTCACATTCTCATACAGTACGACTAATTTTCATAAAAAAAATTCATAAAATCTAAAAATACTTGTTATTTGGTGCAATTAAATATTTCAGATCCACATAAAAACCAGATATTATCATACAAATTCATAAAGCTCACTAATAACATAAACTGGAACTTTTTCCTTGACATTATGATAAATAATAGCAAAAGTAATCAATCGATACAAAATAATACTTTTTCCGAGATAATTATATCATGAATTAAAACATGTGGATACCAAGTAATTCACTAAGATACATTGCAAAATCAATTCAGACAGTATGTTACAAAACAACTAAAACATAATATCCGTAGGTATCTATGGGAATTGGAGAATTAAAAGGTTTGATAATAACAGAGGTAAACTAAGCTTTGGAGTGGGACGATCGGAGGATGGTGGGGCAACAGTGAGTGGGGGTATGTTCCGTTGCTGTTCGTGCAGAGGAACCGCGCACCAAGGAACGCTGCGCATTGCGCAATGTACAAACTTTCGTTCCTCTCTCGCATCGACGCGACTAAAATCCATGCTAACCAGAAAAATGTATTATCTGAATAATCAGCTATGTCCTTCGTTCCCTGTTCATTTCTACGATGAGGACTATCACGGTTCGTGAAATGAAACAAGGCAAATAACATTAGAGAACCGAAAGCGGAACGAAAGCGTTGCTCGTAAGAAAGGTTCACGAAACGGTTCCCTCCACGGAACGTCAATTGCAAAATGGAGGCAATACGACAGTACGTCGCGTTCCCAGGCAAAAACTCGGGTTTTCCAGCACACTTTACATCTCCCGATACACGCTGTTACGCTTGCACACTCCCCGACACCAGTAATCACACGCGGTCGTGAATGAAGCGAATTTCTGACAGATTTACATACCAATCAACGAAAATATTCTACGAGAAGCGGCAGTTAGCACTATCCGTTTCCTTGTACTTCGATGGCAGTGGACGCTCTCCCAAGTCACGACTCCCTTGTCCCTACCCCCTAGAAATTAAATTGCGAGAGGCACGTAAGCCCGCGGTGCACTGCATCCAATCGGATGTCGGATAGCGGCTGAGCTTCATAGTGTAACACATGCGATTGGCTCAGCCTCCTACGCCTAGAGTGCGAACCGTGAAGAACCCTGTCAATTGTAATATACATGATACTGCTCGTAGCAGCAACCTCGTTTTTAACAAACAACAATTGTCATCCCGTTCGCCGTGCAACTCGAGCAAATCGATATGTTTTTCCGTTCTAGGGAAGATTTCCTACGGAGAATCACAGGAGATACTGCAAAGCATTAATCCACGTCCGATCAACAAGTCTGGTAGAAACTGGGTTGAAATTTATAGAGCGGAGCGCACGAGTTTCGCGAGTTTTGTCCTGTAATTCTAGTTGCAATGAAATCGGTCATTTCGTGGAAATCTCCAGAAAGACATGGAAATTCTATGGAACATACGAGAAGGACACGTCATTCCAATATTCGAACAGTTGTTAAGATAGCAATTTTTGACGATTCTTCGGAATGAATATACTTAGAATCGAACGTTGTACAACTATTCTGGATGTTAGAGTCTCTTCTACGTTTTCTGTTCGGAAAAAAATAGACGCCATTGCGCGTTTAAACGTAAACATGTTGGAACGATGTCGAGTTAGCGAAATTATTGAATTTTGGCGCTTTTGTCAACACAACTTTACGGCGGACATTGTACTATGCTGAATTTGATTGGATAAATTTTTTGTTTTTAGATTTAGCAGTTTAATTTAAATTATACTCGTACTTAACACAAAAAAAAAAAATATAAATTATCATTAACGATGAATTTTTGATACTAAATGTTTCGCGTTCACCAGTTCATAGTTATAAAACATGTTATATTAATATCTAAAAAATCAATAAAATAAAAAATCGTAAAATAACTTATATTGATGACACAATCCTTGTAATTACCGATCGTATCAATATTGTATATTCAATAATTATAATAAAAAAAAAAATTTATATTTACAAACTTGTTGAAAAAATATTTTTTTAACAAAATAATTTTTAACTACGAACTTCAATACTAAACGACAATATGTATTTAAAAAGTAAATATCGAGCTCAATTCTTTAGGAAGACAATGCAAGTTAAATTTATTAAAAAATTTTATGAATCATTTACATTAATTTAGAATGTTATGAACTTTTTTTTTTAAATTACTATTATTACAATTATTAAAATAATAATTTAATTAATAACGAATTTTAAGGTCAGAATATTTTGTAAAAAATTAAATATATACGTCCAAATCAATTTTGATAATCTAATATTACAAATACAACTAACATATAGATTATAACATTTTTCATACACTTGGCTCCTTTCAGTGAAATGCCACTTGGCTCCTTTCAGTGAAAGGCCACGTTTGTATTTACTTGCATAAAAGGATTATCTTATACATTATAAATTTAATCTAATCTAAGATCTAATTTGACAGTAATATAGAAAACTGTATTTGAAAAGTGTATTAATCACGAATAGCGTACATAATTCATTTTTCAGGCAAAACATTGTCTACATATATTATATTGCTTATACGTGGCTTACATTACTTATAATTGTACATAATAAAATATGAATTATGCAAAGTGCTATTACTATTCGTCACAAACTACTTACTCCGCATCGTGCTTTCTGCATATTTGCCTATACTTAAATTATAAACGTCTTCGACTAAACTACTTGATATGATGGTTAGATATATATTTTATCTCTGAATTCTAGAATTTGGCAGTGTAATTACCTATGGTAGTGGTTTATGAAAAAAAACTAAGTCACAATGAATTTGATTATAATAGATTTGAATTTGATTCAAGAATGTGAAAATAACATGAAGTTGAGAAAAGAAAGAATCCAAAGAATCTGAAACATGAACTGTTTAAGCACGCTCGCCGCGAATTCGTCTTGCTAACTGAATATCTTTAGGCATTATTGTGACGCGTTTGGCGTGAATTGCACACAGATTTGTGTCTTCGAACAATCCAACCAAATACGCTTCTGATGCTTCCTGCAAAGCTCCAATTGCAGCACTTTGAAATCGCAAGTCAGTTTTGAAATCCTGTGCAATTTCACGAACTAGACGTTGGAATGGTAATTTTCTGATAAGCAACTCGGTCGATTTCTGGTATCTTCTGATTTCTCTGAGTGCTACAGTACCAGGCCTAATAAACAAAATACATTAATGAAGTTACAAATTAAAGTCATTGTCATTATATCAGAAACAATGACTTTATGTAATGTTTCTTACCTGTAACGATGAGGCTTTTTCACTCCACCAGTGGATGGTGCACTCTTACGTGCAGCTTTAGTTGCAAGTTGCTTCCTGGGAGCTTTACCTCCTGTTGACTTACGTGCAGTCTGCTTAGTACGTGCCATTGTTTACTCTGAAATACTGCAAATTTGATCAGTATTATTTATAAATTGTAAATTATCCACTTCCGTTTTAATAAAAATAACGGTATATGATTTAATAAATAAAAAACAATGTTTATTATATTAAAAAAACACTAGATTTTTTAAATTACTTTTTTAATTACTGCAAATTCACTCGCAAACATGTTAAATTAGACGAGAACGAATTAGAGTTAGTATAAATTAAAATCCGGTTTCCCTCCAAAAGCAGACACAATAAACAAAATGGCGACAAGCGTGCATGTAACATTGATATGCACAAGAGATTTGTACATTGCGAAGTACCACGATTTTTTCCACCATCAAAAATATTATTTATAAATAATATGTATAAACGCGACGACGTGCGAACGATTTATTACATTTGTTTGACGATAAAATCAAAGAAATGTACCTGTTAGTCAATTGGTTTGTTATAGGATTTCCGCACTCTTCGTCGATATTAGACTTATGTCGGTTAGTGTTTTTTCAGAAACGCAGTTTGGTCCTGTGAAAGATAGGCGACAGCACCGTTCAGATACGGATCACAGGATTGGCTGTTTCTTCGTAACAACGCTTGTGATTCGTCAACTTCCGACGAATAAACGTATTTGTTATGGAATTTATAAGTTCATAATTATTTTAATAGCTTTACGTGAAATATTATAATCAAAATATGTTCAATGTATAGTACCATGCATGACATATGAATCATACATTTTTCAGAAACATGTGAACATGTGTAACACACGTGTACTCATGCGCGTGCCCGTGTATAGACGTACGACTATATTTACCAATTTGCATCCTAGTGCATTGATCCACATGGAGATATATACACATATATATATATATATACATATATATATATATATACACATATATATATATATACACATATATATATATATTACTTGCATATTTTCATAATATACGCCTCTGAAGTGTAATAAATATTCAAAAGCTATTCATGAAAAAAGAATAAAATTTCAACCTAGTAGATTTTTTACTTCAAAAGTCGATGATGTCGAATGGAATTTCTTATTATTGTACGGTGTTATACGAAACTCAAAGAAACGATTATTTATTGTGGTTATAAATAGCATTATGACAGGGGATTATTATTAAAATGAAATTTCATTCGATGACCAACATTAACAATTTTTAAAAGTTGGTATTTCCCAATGTAATGTAATCTTCAATAGCAATTATTCTAAAGAAACTTGTACAAATACATATATACATATGTGCATTGTACAATATAAACACAGTATCTGAATATTGATTTTTATAAATTAGTAATTATATGTGTATATGTATGTACGCATATAGTTTACCGGAATAATATGACTGAATATTTAAAAATAAGGTTAATTACACGTATATATACAAAATATATCAATTTTTAAGACATGTATTTGAATAACGAAGTACTACAAATTAAATTTTATCAATGGAAAAACGATAAATTAAAAAGTTTAATGCAATTTAATAGAAAACATCTCTACGTATAACGTGTTTGTTAGCAATTGTAGAAATAACAATCAGTTAGCTAATATCATGGTACAGAAGTTATCAATATACTTTATTTTTCAAATAATCAATTTTATTGATTTACAATATTTTTCTTTATAGTTCACTACCTAATAATAGCATAAGAAGCAATAATAAACATTCGTTCTACAAATTACGCCATGAGATAATTATTATCCTTATATCTTCGTCAAAATCAATGTTATTCATATACATATATGCATATTTTTTTAAATATATATATATATATATATGTATAAACTTTCAGTCATCAAGAAAATATTAGAACAAAATTTATTTACTAACATTCTAACTACTAACTATTATATTGTTAATTTAAATATGTTATTTAAAACTGTATTGCCAAAAATACGTGTCGTCAATATTAACTTCTTATTTTTCTTTTTTTTTGTCGTTCGCATACAAATGATGCTTCATTTTTTTTTTCTTTATTATTCAATTTGTACTGACATTCATTAGAATTCACCTACAATCATTAATGACAACGAAAACTTCTTACTGCATTTTGTTTGTTTACACTTCAAGTATAGTCTTTCTTTCGGTATGCGACCAGATATGAAATCTTATTTGAACATCGTACAGACGTTTAATGTGAATAATTACATCGATTTTGGCAGGACATGAACATCAAAAATGCAAGCCCATATTACTTTTGTACTTTTATAAAACATCTTCACGTGGAATGTGAAAATTATATTCTATTTTATAAAATCGCGCCAATGTAAACAAAAAGAATAATTATAAAAATCAATTCGTTCAACACTTTTAGTTGTCTTTCAGTACAAGTGAAATACAGTACAATTTAAGAGTTTAAACTCAAATTTAAAAAAATGATTTTATCATACAGAAGGTAATATTTGAACAATTTTCAGTAATTGCAAGCTCGAATTTCGACGTAAAATAGAACATTAAATATATATACAATTTTTACGTACGAAAATATTATTATTACTTATAGAACATATCAGAATTATATACGGAAAAATCACGTGTATAAATATTTCACTGTTTCCTTTCGTTGAATTTTCTTATTCAATCGTAAGAAGAAAGAAAAGAACAGGAGATATAAATAACATTCAGCAATTTTACATTTTTGTATTAACCGCTGCACACAATAAATGCAATTGTAATGCATAATAAAAAGTATCGATAAATGTACAAAACACTTTGTTCTTTAGTAACTACAAGGTACTGCCTGATGTTCTATGTATGTAAACGACATACATGTAAGATCTACAACACCAACCATTCTTCCCTTTCATAATTAATAATTAAATATCAAATATTGTTAACTATATAATATATTGTTTACCATTCGACTCGATCACGAAAAACCATTGTATTACATTCATTTGTTAATTGAAAATTCAATTTTTTTTTTCATTTAAATTTCATATCCATGACATAGATATTTTAGATTAATTAGAATGATCATATGAAATCAATTTACATAAAACAATTTTAAATTAACGTTGTAATAAAGGACAAAAAGTTTCACATCTCACTATGTTAAAATTGTAAATGAAATCATTAATTTCACCTCTCAAGTCGAATAGAAAAGTTTATTTATAAAAATTGTGTTATAATATGAAATACTATATCAACATTTTGTTATAAGAGATGCTGGGTATACGACAATAATACTATACAATTACCATCTTAAAATAATATTTTTCTGGTTGCTTTCATACTTCGACTAATTAATAGTGCATGTGTTTGTTTTTCTTTTATTATTGGCAGCACCTTTGACTAACGTCGATTTAATGTACATAATTGAGATATTGCAATATTTTGTATTTTTTCTGGCTATTCCACAGAAACGGGCACTACTTGATTAGAATTATTTTTTAATACTTTTAATACTTATTTTCCTTATTTAGTATATAAAAAAATTTGTTATTACTAAATATTTGTTTTTGATACTCTATTAAAATATGTATTCAAAATTAAATGAATACTTTATCATTATTCACGTAGAAATATTATACACTACACACATATTTAAGTTTTTTATAAGTCTAATAAAACTCTACACTACATATTTGTCTTTAATTCCTTTGAAATTAAGTATTCATTAATAAAATAATTGTTTTTAAAATTTGCTAGTCAGAAGAATAAATAAATTACGAATAAATTTATGAATCTTTAAACAGTATTATTTTTCATTTTTCATTGCCACACTTACAAATTTTATGTAGATCTTAAAGTCTTACAGATTTTAAAAACCGTCATTTAAATCTTTTTTTTTTTAATGTACTATAGGATTTTGCCCGCCTCTGCTAAACATTGTAAATTTTTTCACATCTTGATTAAGATAGCTCTTCAATATGTATAATTTTTAAATTTATAGAAAATTAGCAATGATATGAGTTTAGCCTATACAGAATCACGATCATTGTATAAAAATGCATATACAGAAGTAACCACAACCAGAACAATCTTAGATATCCATGAATTTCTTTAATACTCTATTGTTATTATCTTGCAAATATTGTTTCAACATGTCTACTATATCTTTTTGTCAGGGTGACCAGTTGCCAGTACAGAAGTATTGTTTTTCCATTAAAAATAATTGCCTGAACAAACAGTAGCACAAGAAAAATCATACTATAAAAAATTGTACAGAAAACATTCTTTGTAATCTTCAAAAATTAACATTCGAATAATTAGGATCATTAAAACATGATATCCTATTCTTGATATCTTTTTCTTTTTTTTATAGAAATGAATTTTCACGTACAATTTTTGTAAAGTTAACAACATTTTTCCTATAGTAATTAGTATATTGTAACATGATTGTAGTATATATATGTTCTATATTGCGTAATATGTAGCAGATTAAAATCAATTTATATCTGCAGTTACATCTGCATTTCACAACAGTTTGTAATATTTCATTCTTCAGAATATTATAGGATAAAAATGTTACAATAAACGTATTACACTATGTTATTTAATAATACATTGTGGTCACTCTGCAAAAAGTTTGTTGTACGAGCGATGTATTCATCTTCGTTTTTACATATTAAAAAGTTATATATTTTTTTTTTTTTGTTGCTTTTCGATTCTATACTTTAAGAGAATGGATTATTCGTGTTTCAGAAAATATCTTCTCGGTCGTACAACACAATTTCAGTAAAATATTTATTATCGCAATTTGCATGCTTCATTATAGCACGAATATACGTTTTCTTCATCTATATTAAATGTTTCTAAATTTGTGTGTTACTTTGCACTGTAAGAGAACAACGTCTATACACGACAAGCTTAGTAATAAATATTTTCTCCCTTTTCGCAATATTTCAAATTATTTATTATTGCGCTTTAGGCTATATGCAAATATTGTGCCGGAAGACGGTGTTGTAATATTGCAAAAATATTAAAATATTTTAACGGGCGTATTTCCACATAATCCTGCATACCTAAAGCAGCGGAAATCGATTTAATCACCAACAGAACTTGACAAAAAAGTTACGCATAATTTGATTGATTTTTAATTACCATATCAATAATATTTGCTTAAAGTATTAAGGTAGTGAATGATGTCAATTGCAAATTAAAAATAGCAGCTTCGTCAGTTCATTATTGCAAACGTAAAAAATAAGTCCTGTTATAATACTTTATTTCTTTTTCTCATTTTCTTTTAACTTCAAAATGAAGCTGTGTGTCTTTTAATTTGCTATTAACATTATTCATTATACATTAATAAATTAAGACGAGTAAGTTTTGTAGAAATACAGATTAGTTTTAAGACAGTCATTATATTACAATACTAATATGTTACCAGCTTTGTTTTTCTACGTCAATAATTGCAAATATTTTGGACATTCAAACTTTAATAAAATTAATATAGAGGAATAAATATTGGTGTTTCAACCCCCGTTACATCAGAAATGCAGAATTATCCATAGAAACATTAACAGATCACATTCATTTCTCGCAGAACGTAACTTTATTACTTTCATAAATCTGTTGAAAATGGCACTGTTTACAGATTGTACCTTGTGTATTTTATTAACTGTTCTTCTTATTTCATTATTTATCTTGTATAGTTCCTTCATTTCCAATCTTTGAATCTGAATGTAAAACAGTAATTGTTGAATAATAAACAATCAATGGCTCTTTTCTTCTTTCTGAGAAATAGTAAGAACTCGTGACTCAATTTTGTTAACATTATTTTGACACGAGGTATTAAACATTGAAATATGAGGATGCAAATGACTGACACATTTTCCTCAAAGGAATGACTACATGGTAATTGTTATAAAAAATGAATAAGTTTTTTAACTTTTACAACGTGACTCTCTATTTTCATTAATTTATTGCGACTTTTAATGTTCAGTCACTGATCAACAAAAATAGCAATATTACGTTTATCTAGTAATTAACAGCAAAAAAACTAAAAAATGCATAGTAAATTAAAATGCAGAGTAAATATAAAAAAACAATACATGTCAAAATAATGCAAAATGAAATTATTTTAAGACTTATGTCTTTGTTACTAGAATATCTTCACGATTCTTACAAAATACGTCAGAGTGATTTCAAAAGTTTTATGGGCTTGCTATATCTATTTCATTTTAGTTATCAATACCCTTAATATTTGGATCATAAATGATGCATGTCGAAGATTCGTCAATGAGTGATCGCACAATTAAAAGTTTTACAGCCTTCTCTCTTTTTTTTGTTTTTATATGTAAAATATTTATATCTTCATAAATACCGACATACCGAACGATAAGATCTAAGTAGAGAAATTGTTATTACATAATCACAGTTGTACAGCCATTTGCTACCTCGTATTTAATACAAAAATGCTTAGATACCAGTACCGTAGAACTTGATTTCTTTTTCTTTTACGTTCGTGTGTATGTTGTTCACATTTACGTTAATCTCAGTCTGATTAAGAATGTGTGTATTCTATTATATCACAAAATGAAAGAAAAAGGATATTCTACAATTTAATTAGGAAAATGTTGCCAATTAAAATGCCGCGCAATTGAAATACATACGAGTCTACAATCTAAGCAGTTTTGCAATATTATTAACTGATAATAATATAAATATTTTAAAGGGCATACGTTTACATAATAATCGCAATAATAAGAGACACGATAAAATTGGATATTATTATCAACAATGTGTCCACGTTTGCGGAATAAAGAAAATGAAACAACATGAAAGGAGATAAGATTTGAAAAGTAGCTAAAAGAATGAATAAGAAATATATAGTAGTAAACAGTGGTAAATAGCAATAGAAAGAGAAAACAAAGGCGTCTACTATTGTTCTGTTTTTTTTTCCTTGTCAAAATATTGAGCAGTCATTATCGCAAACAAGAACACATTCTACAATTAATAGAAATCAATTTTAGTTTTAGTTTTAGTCAGAGTACTCTTGGTTTATCGGAATCCATACTGCTACTATCTAAATAACAAATGCATTAGTCATATATCAAAACTACAAGTGATTAAAGATGATACAGATTTATAGCAAGTATCTTTAGTTATAAATTGTAATATAAATGTTCAGCAAATTTGTTTTTTCTTTTTGTTTAAATATTACATATTACTATTTTACGTAATTCATTATTGTACAATAATCTAATGATTATGTGTATGTTTTGCCATCTGGAGTGTGCAGATAATTCTTCCTCGATATCAGGGAACCATCATCTGCCTTTTTTTCGATAACTAATACTCCTCTTTTTTTAAAAAAGAAAATGAAATAACAGGCAATCTCTGTAACGTTCAACTAGTGCATAAACAAACGTTCGCAATATGGCTCTTCTAGCGCTAGTAATCTTTAACACAAGAGAAGAATCATTCGCACAAAACAGAGCATGTAACGTTTTGTATTTGTATTATTGTAACTTGTCAAAAATATATTGTTCAATTTGATCTGCCCTATTGTTGGTTTTTTTTGTGCAGTGTTAGATAATTACTATTGATTTTATAAAAATTTATTTATAAATATAGTTTTTTTTTTGACATTTAAGAAATTCAATATATCAAACATGTAATATTTAAATAGTAATAAGAAAAAAATTATTATAAATTCATAGATACATAAAGACAACGCACAGGATTTAAATTTATAACAGGTCATATATCATATTATGTATACCAAGAAAAATGATCACTAAAACCAACAATTGGGGCAGCGTTATATAAATATTCAACTGTATGTTTTTTTTTTAGTACACAGTATTAGCTAATTTATTTATTTGTTAATCTCCTATTACCCTATTTTGTAGCTAAATTTGTTGCTTTCACAATAATTTATATTCTTAATAATTAATATTTTAATTGTATTATTGTTATAAGTAAAATAGTATATATTGTAATTATTTATAATATTCAATATTATATCATTCAGGAATATCTTTCCTAGATTTTCATACTTGCCATAATCATAATGTGCCCCTTTCTATAAAAAAGACAAAAAATTAAAAATAAAATAGCTTATCATTCAATATGATTTTAATTGAGTTTTTTGCTTAAAAAAATTGTTATTTGAAATGTTTCCAAAACATGAAAGAATTAATCTTCAATAACTATTATTATGTTTAATTACAACACATTAGAGGAAACATTATGATTATGAAAAATTAGCATTCTTTATAAGTACATTTTGCAATGGCGAACTAGCATCTTAATTGATTAATCTCCTACTATTTCTGTAAGATGGTAGTGTGTACATTTTTCTTTTTATATAAACAAAAATAACAATAATAACACTCATAAAGAATATTATTAATGATTTAGAAAGGTATCGCATTTAAGAATAGTATTTTTAAGGTAAAATATATTCCAAAAATGCGAAGAGAAAATACTTGTTGCTTTTTTTTTGTTATACCTGTTGTGATTGTAGTACTTATAAAGAATGCACATTAAAATTACAATTGAAAAATGCTTTATTATAGTCCTAAATTGATTAAATTCTAAATAGTACTTTGAAAATTATATCATGATATATACGATCTCGAACGATTGAAGAAATTAAAATATTTATCTACTTATCATACGTGATGAAATATAATATATAATTGGTATTTGTAACAGTATCATCTTCATTTCATGTTGACATCTTTGTTAAATACTTCGTTCTTTTAACATTTCATTTCATTCCTCTCTTTATGATTTCTTTATAAATATTATCCTTTGATAAATCGTTTATATCATGATACGTAAAATTGTATTTTCTTTTTTTTTTTTTTAGTAACATCTATTATATTTTATTATTAATAATTTGTAATAAAAACGGACCTAATAAAAACATTTATTTCTTTTTTGGCCTCACTTTTTGATACTAAACTATGAAGATAATTAAAGAAAAAAAATAACAATCAGCTTCATTATTGAGTTGTTAAATAATTAAATAATTAAGTAAAGTTTATTATAATACCCTTCTTTTTCTTGTTTTAATTGAATTTACTTTTTTGTTTTGTTTGATTAAATAAGATTAATGGCTCATATACAAAATTTTTAATAGTCCATACAAAACGTATTTGTTTTTTAAAAAGAATGTAATTTGTGCAGGGTATTATATATTTAAGATAATTTTAATTATATCGTAAATATTAAATAATAGTCTTTAAAATTGGTTGTTGTAACATTTTATGTCTATGAGGAAAAAATTTGATAATGTTGTCCTATCTATACTATTCATTTATACTGTAGGCAATATTTTACCTGTGTTCTTTCTTTATCATAAACGTATAGTTGTTTTATAATAATTACCAGCTACATATTCAAAATGAAAATATTCCATAGAGCCGGTATATAAAACGCAATAACCATGCGTTTCATTGAAAAAAGCTAATTGGCATGCTTATTTATTTGCATGTCATTTATATCGAGCTGTAACACGTATGTCACATATTCATCGCTGGTATCATAAATATAAGTTACTCCTTTTTCTTTTGATTAAATTGAAAAATCCTAAATATTCATAATATTTCTTACAGCTAAAAATGTAAAAACTTACAACACAAAAATTGAGTTTAATTAATTTAGTACTGTACCTCTGTTGCAAAATTACATTTCTTCATTACTATCACACACTATTTAATTTCAATAGTAAGTATATAATGTATTCATATTCATATTCATATACATATATATATATATATTTATATTAAGCATACTTAAAGTTTAAAATATAACATACTACCATGTATAGAAAAAGCATGGTGAAACATATACAAATAACTATCTACTTGTTAATTATATCAACTATTCAGAGAAAAGAAGAAAGAAAAGAAATAAAAGAAAAGAAAGCTTATTTATATAAAAATTTTAACTACGGACTATCATTGTTTTTCGATGTATCCAAAGTATAAAAACATTTTTTTTATGAATTATAATTTGAGTATGTTTTATAGAAATTATAAAAGATGAAATGAGGAAAAAAATATATATATATTTAAGAAAAACAAAAAAATAATGATAAGAACATTGTAAGTTTGAAATAATACATGTAGCTTTTCTTTTACAATGAAACTGTTAAATGTATTATTCCCTTACATATTTCTTTTACAAATTTTAATTCGTATTTCGTTATAAATATGAGCAATTTTATTATTTTGTATAAAAAACTAGAAATCATATATTCCTTATAATATAGAATAGATATCATCAATACTACCTTTTCAACCAAAAATATAAAATTTGTTAATACTTGTATGTATTATTACCATCAGTACATGTCAATTGAAAAATCCTATTTAAATATATATCTTTAAATACAATAGAAATATCATCTTTTGTGACATACGTTTAACAGCTCAACAATTGAGGGAAATTATTCTATAACTATTATATTGTGGGACATTAATCTTTTGTTGCGTTTAATTATGGTATTACAATTTTTTTAAACAAATATATACTTTAGAGGTCCCAAAACTTTGTCCATAATTTATGATTATATCGTTTTTTCTTTTCCTTCACGCTACAATGTTTGTGTAACTGGCACACACGTGTCATTAAATGCTAACTATTCAGCTAGCACCCTGCTAATAAAAGTATTTTGTATTATATATTAAATAGCTCTCCATTCCAATTAATATGTGTTCTTAATATAAAGGATGTGATATCTGAATCTTCATGAATAGTATAACTGTTGACACAAAGACGTATGACAAATAGAAGTCTCATCACATCCATATTCACTTTGGCGATAATCAAATTATATATTTGAATAAATTTGTTCGTTCTTCTTCTTCTTCTTCTTCTTCTTCTTCTTCTCTTTACTGCGATAGTACGCGTACAAATTCTTTTAATTGTTCATTTTATATACCATATCGTTTGAAGTACCGAAAATTTACGTTGAAGATCCTAGTGCTACTCACAGAATTATGAGGATATCTGTCCTGGTTACTGAGAAAGAGCGTAGATTATAACAGATGTTCTAACAAAATTTTCGGACCTAACTTGTAGAGACAACCGGAGTCTGGCAGTACGGGCACTCACGTTGATTTGGAGCGCACGTCGAGCAGACCACGTAGTGGTTACAAGGTGAGAGGGTAACAGCGCGATTTTGTTCTTCGCAAACCATGCACTTTGTTGCCGTTTCTCTGTACAGCACCTGGAACGGCAACAACTGAGCTACCTATAGTGTTTCCATTAATCAAACCGACCGCAAATAGATTAGATTTGACAATTTTATGAGAAAAAACCTCGACTGCCAATTGGAACGTTTAACTGATAATAGAAGAGAATTCTGTTTGATGAGAAGATGAGGTAGCTGTAGAATTTTAATTCTTTTGCATCCTCTTCAGATAAATGAATCATTATTCGAGAAACGCTTGATATACCAGCTGTTCAAGCCGGCATGACAACTTTGCTTTACCTTTTCTACTTCTTCGAGATCCGAACGGAGTTGTGATTGAATTGATTTTAATGCGGCTATAGATAATGATCTGAGTTCACTTATTCTTCTCAATGTGTGAAGGTATGGCCCACCACTGGACGCTTCATTTTCTACCCTTAATGCTTTCACTTGCAACAAAGCCTGTTAACAATTTTTGTAAATACGTGCTACGGAAAGAACGAAATAATAGAATATTTACCTCGTCTCTCTGCTGTTCAGCGATACTTGCTTTTCTTTTAGCTTCCTCACTTTCTAATTGCCAAGCAGCACAAGCAGCTCTAGCTTGATTAATACGTTCATCCCAAGTTGCTAGCTGGGCACGACTTGACGTCAATTCCTCTCTGAGCCTTTGCACCTGAGACAAATTAGTAAAGATGCAGTCTTACTCGAGTCTTATTTTAATTCATTCAACCACACCGGAGTAAAAACTGGGAGAATTCTAACCTCAGACAAAGATCCTGTATTACTTGGACTAATGGAAAATGCATTAACCAATGGAGATGCTGGGAGAGGTTGAGTACGAGATGGAGACATTCCTTGATTCGTAAAATCAAATAAGCTACTATTAAATCCGCTAAGCTTAGAAGCTGAACTGCTAAGTTGTGAAATATGATTGCTAAATGGATCTGATACTTGATTCATAAATGGCATAGTCTGAAATCAATACCGAACAAAATAAAATATTAAAATAATGCTAAGATAATCCTTCTTTGCGAAAGAGTTGAAAGAGAGTAGAATACTTTTCTTTACCGATTCTATTGAATCCTGGTGAGAAAATCTGGATCCAGTGAGAAAACTAGTCGAATGTAGAAGTGGACTGGACGTTGATGGTGAAAAATTTGTAAGAACTGAACGTTCGTTCATCCCAGGGATATTAACTGGTGCTGAGCTTCCTAATAGACCAGAACTTGCTAGGCCTGCTGATATTGAATTGCTAATTGGTGAATTAGTATCTCTATGAATTGATTCTACTAAATTTAAAGGGTCATCTAGATGTAACTCGTCTAATGCATTTCCTGAAAAAAAAAAGAAGAAATAAATAAACATTTAGAGATAGATCAAAATATTGTTTCTCTGTTCTTCCTTAACTCTGTCTTACCTACTACAGATTCCACAGTGTCATTCGGATAAAATGAACTTGAAAGCGGTGAGACAGTAGTTGCTAATGAGTGATTTCCTAAGCTCCCGTTCAAACTATATGCAATGTATAGGCTCTGTTTCTGTTGAGCTTTCTCTGCTTTTGTTAATAAAGGATCACTATCTATAGCAACCACTTGTTTTCGTATTTCACCCTGTTTAATATGTTTAGAATTATTATGCTGGACCTTTATCGACAATGTACATTCAAATGCACGATCAAATGCACAATCGAACTTACAACTTGCAAAAGAGAACTGGGATTATAAAGTATGCTCGTTAACTTTTGCTGATTGGATGTGTTTACAGTGGTATTGGAATTGGAGTTATGAAGTTGAGCACCAGGGGCTTTACTATGTGAACTATTACTGCCGACACTACTAGTACTTGCTGACTCTGATACTTCACCGCTTCCATTCTATAATTCAAATATTTGATGGTGGTCATTTAATTGTATCTCATCTGAAGAAAGTCCATTACTTTTGTATGATGTATAATAGACTTACACTACTATCACTAAGTGGTTTATCCTTTTCGTGACTACGCTTATCGGGTGGAAGCGCATTACTTAGAATATCTGCCAAATTGGTGCCACAATCTATAGGTACCGCCATGTCCCTCGCCAGGCTCATTTCTTCTGTTGGCAACACTGCTCCATCAGCACACCATACCAACGTCCCAATATATCAATTTTGAGAAGCAATTTTGAATACTAAGTTTAATCATTTACAAAAGGCCTATATTTACCAAATAAAAGGAGGGGAGAGAGAGAAAGAGAGAAAGAAAGATAGATAGATAGATAGATAGAGAGAGAGAGAGAGAGAGAGAGAGAGAGAGAGAGAGAGAGAGAGAGAGAGAGAGAGAGANAGAGAGAGAGAGAGATAGATAGATAAATATATATATATATATATATATATATATATATATATATATATAGAGAGAGAGAGAGAGAGAGAGAGAGAGGAGAGCATTTTCAAAAATGCAAATGAAATGTTAAATCATTTTTACATAGAAGCAATTGCAGGCATTTTTACACGTTAATAAACTTTGCATTACTTGAATTTATCTCGAATAGTTATGTATTAAGCGATTAAGTATTGTGAACAAAGCCAATAGAAAAATGTTTTCTAATATATATATGTATTTAAGAAAAAAGGAAGAAAAAGGGAAAAAAGAAAAGAAAAAAGAAAGAAGTTTCACTAAACTTACTAAAGTAGTAGTAACTGTTTTACGTACGGTTTATGAGGGTACACTCACGGTCAACATGTGCAAAAGCACAGAAGACTCCGCGCGGACAATATCCAGCTTGTTGAACATCATTACATTTCGTAGATTTGTATATCTCGGGATGGAATTGTTGTTCTGTACGTGTGTGACAATACGTGCAAGCATCTCCTTGTTCACAATTGCCTGGTTCACCCCATTCTTCTCCATGTTTTACATTGGGGCATGGTGTTGATCTGAAGTAAATAAAATTTCAAATTAGATAATGTTACTACGCGCAAATTTGATTTTCAGATTTCTCTCAGGCCGAGAGGGACCCACCTGTACTTGTACTTCCGAGGACTACGTCTTTTATCTTTGCTATTGTGATACTGTGGACAAGCATAGCCCTGACGGCAAAGCCTTGGTGGTCGTTTGCAGGGCTCTGTTTTATAATTGCTCAGCACGTAGTTCGTGTCTTGCCATTTCGGATCTTCGTTCATCAAGTGTCTCTCTTTGTCAAGTATGTTTGGTCCGTTAGATGATGAATTAGGATCAGAATCGGGATTCTCCAGCGCCTGTATCTCTTTAATATCGTAAACTGGTGGGCGAAGATCATGATTGCCATGTGCGAAGGCACAATGAGGGCCGTTCTTGACACAGAATCCACGTGTGTCCGTATCATGGACGCACATGCAGGTTTTATAATAACGTAGGTGATAACGTCTCTCTGTGTCGCCAGCAGTGCGATGAAGGAACGGACATCTGTTTAACAACAAAGTTCATGTAAATTAAAGAACAACTTCATGGCGTATAAAAATAATCAGAAATCACACGAAAGCAATTGTAAATTAATAGAATTTTGTTAAATTAAATGTTAATTAATTAAGATAGATAGTTTTTGCTCTAAATAGTTTAATTAAAAAGATTCAATCTCGAAATAACAGTCAAATATTACTATATAGTTATAAACTAAAAAAAATTATACGTTCAATATATATATTCTTTAACACTGTAAGAAACTGATTTTTCTAAAGACTACGTACAATCGCGCCTTACACGAGTTATTGATCTTCTAAAATTTAACTTGGATTAAAGGGGAATGTACCGTAGTGGTCGTAAACGTCTAAAAATTAATAATCGTTATATTAAAAAAAAAAAAAAACAAACAAACATCTAGACAGATCTTAGACATCATTAAATTTATTTTCTAAACTATATAATTGCGCCATAACGATTGCGGAACGTTACGATGCAGCAATAAGGATTACCACATATAAATTCTTTGTTGCCACCATGCCATATAAGAGAAAATCAATATCAGTAGGCACCTTTGTTTGGGAACTCGAAGCGCTGAATATTTTGGAGGGAAAAACCGATCGCAGATATTTTTCTTTCATCTCGTTCGTGAAATATTAAAAATTCTCGCGAACATAATTATTCCATACCGTGGAAGTAAGATTACCGAGATCTTATATATTTAACGACGTTATAGCTAGTCGCCCCAAAGATCAACGTTGAAAACATTTCAAGAGAAAGATTCATTCATCGTCCAGATGAAAATACAACGTAAGCTGACTCGCTATTTTTATTAACAAGAGAAAAAAAAAAGGCAACTAAAAATATAATGTTGAATTGTAAGCAATAAATATTCAGAACGCTTTTATCATAATAAGTAATGCGATAAATATACATTCAGGCGCGAATCGGTTATCAATTAAAAAACCGCTTGCAATCTTATGTTCTCTGGAGGAAAGGTCGCGATAATTGTTGTAAATTGTAATTGAACGAAACATGTTACATTTCATGCGACTAGAAAGAAGAAAACATTCGACATTATTATTAGTAGACTAGATAATAGATGTACAGTGTAGAATAGGTAAATATTCGATTTTCCTCTTAAATCCTACATCTCTTTCTTCAAACAGAATATTCAAATCTATTTTAGTGTATACTGTATGTGCAGTAGATATAAATATTAAGAACAATAATATACACTAGTAACGACAAGCTGGATAATTTTCACTTTTTATATCTTCAAAAGCCTTCGCGGCGCCTGTTAACGGTTCCCCCAAAAAGCTGAGAAACCTTAGGTTTCGTTTATTTTCATTAACAGACAATACGTGTAAGCCTTAATATTCTATCACACGAGCTAGCCTTGAAAAAAGAACATCTTCATCGATATCCGCTTGTCTGTTCGAGCTTCCCGCTTGTTTGTTTCGTACGAGTTCTACAATGCAATTGTACAAACTGTAAACAATAGTAAAATAAAAAACGATATGCTACTTTGAGGTCATTGACGACAAACATGTACTTTCCCTTTTAGAAATAATGTTCGAGGGCAATAAATCAAAGGAGATGCATTTTTATCGCGCGAGGAATTAGCAACAAGATAATTTAGAAACAGTGACCTAAATCTACCGTTCATGTTCATCGTATACGCTGCACGAATATTTAGAGTCAAATAAACTATGATATCGCACGCAAAATATATTTCTTATTGGATATTTCGAACAGTTGAACGTTTATATTTTTGTATTATTTGTAATACCTTTACTTCGTACGAAAAATGTTGCGATACAAGCATAAATTACGAGAGACAGAAAAACCAGGGGTGCAATGGGGGGAGAGGGCGGGGAAATCTCTAATAACAGATGGTCACGTAAAAAATTGCAACTACACGTTCGAACGCGTAGAGAAATTTCTAGTTAGCTGCTCTCTTTCGTTCGAGTTATCTACAATGGATGACAACAGGTTAAGCAGCCGACGGTAGCTATATTCTGTCCGCAATGGCGGTTGCAAGCATGTAGGCATACATTCATAACAGGAGGAACACGACTCGCCTTGATGTTTTAATTGGCAGGCTCTGATTCGAACCGAATAATTCGAAAACACGTTGCAGCGATTGATTTAAAAATAACAACCGTGTGATCCAATCGAAAAAAGGAAGAATTTTAAAATTACTAGGAAAAATTATCAATTGATTATTTTGATCTGGTATCGATGTTCTAGAATTTTAGCAAAAAATACTTTTGATCAATCTAATCTAAGAATATCAAAAGCACAATGTATACACGATAAATATAAAATACACGTTTGCTTGTATGATGTTATGTGTATTAATTTTTTGTTATAGAAAATATAAAACGAATTCTACAGATATGCTACCAATCTCTTGTTTTTTTAAACAAGTGAAACGTAAATTAAAATAAATTTTGTTTGCTAAATATTACAAGAAATGCTTCTTGTATACATAATTTTTTCACTCCTAGTATTAAAATATCTAATTTTTCTTTTTTTTGCATAACACCATGCACATTGTTGCACCTTCAAATTTACTATGAATGGATAAATAATCCGTGATCTAGTCACGAGGTGCGTGTGAATAGGTAAAGCTATTATGACTACACGATCATGCTGCTTTTCTGTTCAACATGCGAGTGCAATAATGTTTCAGTTACTTTTGCTCGTACATATATACAGCACATATGCACACGTGTGTATATGCATGTATATAATATAATTATATATATATATATACATATACACTACGCATGTCCTCGAAAGTTACGTCGAAATTGGCCTCCTCTTCGTTACATAGGTTATTCTCGAAGAGATGTTACGTCGTTACGCATTACCACGCAGATGCGTGTTACATGTTACAGCACGCGCGTGTCAACGACACAAAGAAACCCGATAGACCCTTCTGTTCTTTCTTTCACATCGATATCAAACTCGATCGCGAGAAACATTTTCATTCATGTAGCCTCGAAGCTCATTTACGGTTTCCAAATTCGAAGAACACTTTTTGCTTTATAAGCAAAATGATCTTGACTTGTACATGCACACATACATCTGTGTATATGCATGTGCATATATATATAATGAAAAAAAAGAAGATAACCATGTTCGACTTTCTCTAGTAAAAAAAAAAAAAAAAAAGAAGGAATAAAATAATATGGATTTCATAATACCAAACAAGCGCACTACAGAGTTTTGTATTTTGTAAGTTAACCGCGACACGACAAATCGATGCGTCTGACACAAGAGTCTACACAGTGTCGCGTTAACTGGTCAGAATTTTACTTCGTTAACTGTCCGTTTCCATCCCCACCACTTTGTCCAACTGACTTCCTGAAGTGAGCCTCTAATATTGCACGTGTAAAATAAACAAATGTATATCATTGTACGGATATCCCAAGTTTTACCTAATAATAGGCAAAGATAGTGGACATTTTATACTGGCTCCGATAGGTCTCGTCTTGGCTGACCAATTAGCGAAACAACTGTATCACTCGCAATCTCCACTACCGTACGAACGAGTGTCTATTGATAGAGAATAGAGATAGCAGGCGAAATGTGTACAATGGTATACGAGATTGAGAGATTGACAGGTAAACTCACTCGTCTCCATCTGGACATATGCCGGTAGTCTCGTCATACTTGGTGCAATAATTATCGGCGCTATAGTTGAAGGTGCGGTCCCTCTTTCTCACCGGTCTTCGCCTCCGCTGGTTCATAAAGTGCCAGTTGAAGCACGTGAAGGGTCGGTGCTGTGTGCATTTGCGCTGTATAAAGAGGGGACATTGTTCGACGCGAAATTCCTTCAAGTATCTGGAATGCGAATCCACAGAGCTACACATTATTTCGTGGCGTATTTTGACGCGCGCGTCGATGCCGCGCTGCTGTGCTCGCGCGGCCCTCCCTCTTTTATTCCGTTCTTTCTCTTTTCTTTTCTCTTTTCTTTTTTTTTTTTTACATATATTTAGTCTATTTTATATTTTACTGCATACGAACGTTAAGCACACGTATTATCGTATTACGTGTACTTTTTTTCTCATTATTATGTTATATATTCTCATTAGAATTATTTCTCTCTCTTTTATCGTTAAGCACTCCACTTTTTTTTAATTATTATCATTATTATTATTATCATTTAATTTTTATCCGAATCACGCACTTTTTTCTTTTCTTTTTTTTGGGGGGGGAGGTACTCTCCAAAATTTTATCTTTCTTTTTTTATCCTCACTTTTTTCTCTCACGTAGCACGCGCGACCGGCGCTTACTTACGTGTAATGATTCGCCTTTTCCGCCTGAGCTGTCAACAAAGGTTTAGAGTCGGACTTCATCTTGGATAACACAACCGAGCAACGCGCGCGCACACACAGATGGGCCAAGCACACTCTCTCCTCCCGTTTTTTCTCTCGTCGTCCTCGTCGCCGTCGTGCCCGTCGTCGTCGTAAGCCGTCGCGTAGTCTGTCTTTCGCCCCTTTTGCCCCGCTAAACTCTCTACAATCTATCGGACACGGAATGCGGGACATAGGGCGCGCACGGCGCAATACACATTATATGCGTCGAGACTATCCAATCCTTGTGCTCTCTCCCAGTCACGTGATTGTTCCTCTTTCAAGGTCATTGATGTTTTGGTTCATTCCCTGTCGTAAACATACACACTCTGTATATACGATGCTCAGGCGCTTGCGATGAAAATTTGATTTTTTTTTCTTTTTTGTGCCGTTCGCCGACTCCCCTCTCGATCTTTTTTTTTTTTTCTTTTTCTTTTTTCAGACAGATTAATTACTTTTGAACACAGCAACCAGGTTCTACGGAAAAGAGAAGGGTATCGAAATACACGATCGATTCCTAAGGCTCGACCTCGATCGAGTTCCGATTCTGTGCTACGTTCTCACTGAAGCTGATTCGGCATCGTGTAACCAAGCCTTTTGTAAATACCGATTGCAACTCATTTTTCATGTTTTTTCTTTTTTCATTAATAAATATGATAATCGTAAACGTACTTTTTTGCTTCGTACAATGAAAATTCTCTCCCTCCCTCTCTCTTTTTTCCTGTTTTTTAGGTCCGAATACACTTCTCATACATGTTTCATCATCGTGCGAGTTACCAAGTACCAAGTACCAAGTACCATTGAAATCATTCCTTTCTTATAGCACATAGGTTCTGGGTTAATTTTTTTTTTTTTTTTACTATTATTCAAACGTATCTTACATTCGATAGTCAGTATTTTTTGTTTGTTTTCGGAAAAATATACAAGATCTGATAAAAATTGTAATAGAATAAATTATACTTAGCGATCTTTAGTCAGTGAATACTTGCTTTAATACGTGTTACGTTGCGAAATGTAAAATCATAAGTGACGCGTGAAAATGTCCGGCCTAGTTGTTTCGTTCATCGCAACTTCATGTCGGTTGTGATTCGGTGTACATATATCGATTCGATCGTGACGATTCCAGTTCTGTCCGCACTCTCACTTTCACTTTCTTTACATCATACTGATTTTATACTACTGTTGCTTCTTTGGTCATTGATCTTACGCATTTCACAACTCTCCCCCGTGCTTCTCTCTCAATGCACACAATACTTTAAAAAAACGTATATATCACAGGCACGTTCTAGCTTAGTCGCTAAACTCGTTATCGTAGATGTTACGCGTATGAATCATCATCTCTTATCGGCTCTTTACAACGATTTCGATGCATATTTAGATACCTGTGTTGAGTATGGTCAAGCTTCATCGGTTTTTTCTTCGACGACCGCCTAAACTTGTCCGACCACGTTTCGTGATTTGTAAACCGCGATATGCAACGTTTAACATCGCCTTTCGTCGCGCATCGCTGAGAACTTGCCGACTTCCTCCCCTCTCCGACGAACGAGACGTACCAAAAATTTTCTATCTCGGTGTGAATAAAAGTTTCAGTCTTCCTTGTTGAACGATTTCGCGCGACAAATTTTAATTCGTAATTTTGCGATTCTCCCTCCTTTTCGTACTTCTTCGTTTGGTTTGCAACGAAATTTATATCAGATTTGCAATTTCCGCTTAAACGACGCATATGAGGAAATACATACCAGTTCTCGGAGCATGCGCGGTTACGCGAGTATGTCGCGAACGACGTACGCGATTTCGACCAATCGCGAAGCAAACACGCAACAAATTTTATTCACAATATGCCAATAATTTATGGCGATTTATTTCGTACACAGATACGTTTTTTCCTAAACGAAACAACTTTTCTTCTGTTTCTTTTTGATTAAAGTACAGGGAAAGCACATTATTGATGAGAGAAATGAAATACAATTCTTGTAATGAAATACAATGAAATATAAAATCAATGTTTCCCAAAGTTCATTTTCAATTTACTTTTTTTTTCAATATTGAATAAGATTGTATTATTAATATAATAATAAAATTATAATTAATTATATTATTAATATTATATTATATTCATTGTATATCCATTTCTTCGTTGCATTAATATAACAATACTTTTAATTTCATAATTTTTACAATTCTTCTTTAAAGCATGCTTATCTTTTTTCTATTATAAATGTTTGATTTAAGGAGGACAAAGGTATTAAAGTATAAGCATTCTTTTTATCACACTTATGTTTAATGTATACAAAAACGTAAGGAAGTACGATAATATTAAGAAGAAACATACATACAATGGTTTAAAGTTTGCATTAAAAGGAAAGTCTTTTTTTCCTAGTGTCATGATAATTAATATAAATAATTATTCGTGATATAAATAATATAAAAAAAGAAGGATTGTCGTAAGCGAAATTTTTAAATAAATTGTCAAGAAATATCGCTAATATGTTACATTATGCAATTATGATATATATATATAAAATCATAGTTTTATACAGCTTTATATTCGAATGGGAATAAAGAATGAAAATAATACGTATCAAATGTACGAGAGACATCTGAATAATAGATATAAATAATAAATTGCCTCGTAGTTATAATCCATCTACATATAATTTCAAATTTCTATGTAAATTTATTACAGCTAGTTACGATTTCAAGTTTCGTTATTGGTTCCGATATAATATTGCAAATGTATATTTTTTCTTTTTTTTTTTAAATTTATCGTTCGTTAACTTATCTGACTTTGTACAATTACGTTCTTGTTCACTACATATTTAAATAAAGTCTTGTAGTACACTAACATACCTAGACACAAACTAAATGTGAACCATTTATTAGACTGATAAAAATATAATGCTTTCACAATATATGAAAATAATACACATTTGGTTTGTACGTACGCATGTTTGATTAATGCTACATTCATGATACAACGTTTCCCTACAATTTTTTAAATCTATTGTAATACGAACTATCGATTTTCGTTTGTTTACACATTTCTCATTTCTTCTTTTTCTTTTTTTTTTGTTTTTATAAGAAATAATTTGAGTATTCTATTCCAATTTTCTTCTCTGAACTTATCTCTGGAAAATTCTTTGAAATATTGAAATTTTCATAATTTACAATGAATTTAGTTTTATATTGCTATTAATAAAGTGCATTTGGTAAAAGAAATTGTCATTAATTCTTCTAGAAATTATGATCTAGAGAATTAGCTAGCTTCATTGTTATGTTGTACAGTTTTATTTAAATAGAATAAAATAATGTTTAGGCAATAAACGAATAAATATATATAACAAATTGAAGCTAATATAATAAAGCAATGTTTAAAAAAGTTTTCCATCGATGTTATTCTGTACCAATTTTTACAACAAAGAATATTACATACACGCGTACATTTTCATTAAAATAGGTTTCTTACTTTTATATATTGCATTATTCTGTTTGCCATCAGACGTACTTAGGTTCTTACTAATTTTGAGCACTCCTTGGATGGATATTATGCAATTATTAATTAACTGTATATAGTCATTAAAAACCATAACAGTATTTCTCATTGGATGTTTTTCTTTGGATGGACTTATGCATTATAATAGTAAATTTCAAGGCAATTCTAAAAACATGCCTTCTTTTTTTTAAAAATGGAGCGCTTAGTCTCTTAACTATTACTTAATTCAGTTTGACAGCAAACAAAAACTGGTCAAAAGATTGTATAATCGTTATTACTTAATATTTCTATGATTTACGACATCTACAGTTAAATATCTATTATAAATATTTTTATCGGATTTTAGTGAGTATTTTTTAAGGTTCCAATTAGTATTTTGTAAAATGCATTCCTTTTTTTTTTAACACAGATAATATTTAAATATGTTCGAATATTAGTAAAATGATATATTTAAAATTCTGTGCTTTTTGATGCAGTTCTAGAATGTTGTAATCTAAATGTAAACAATTTTTTGCAGTGTATTGCAGTGTTATTATCGTCAATACATTTTACATTGTGCGATGTCGAATTTACATATTTTAATTAATACATTCGAATGTTAAGATTGTATAATATCTTTCTTTCTTATCACTGAAAATTCTTATTTTTGTAACATGTCTTGATACTCTCAATACAATAAAAGATCAAGAATTACATATTCTGTAATGTATGATTATAGCTGAATACTACTCATCTTTTGTTTTTAATAAAATATAATAAAATCAACTTATGTACACATTAATATTGATATTAACAAAAAAAGTATAATAAAAAATATTTTAAAAAAGTTTAAATTAAAAGATTTATATATAATAAGATTATTAAAAGATTTGTTCAAAATAAATACATAGATTATTAAAGTCATGTATAATGTATAAGATCCAATTAATAATTCATAAGCCTGAATAATTTTCATTAAAAACATGCAAACCTGTCCAATCTGCGCTTGCATATACTTAGGAAGAAATAGTACAAATAAATTGTAAATTGTTTTGAACCGTTTTACTGTCAGATTATTACGCGATATACTGGCAGCTTGAAATTTTATAAACAGTTTATAATGAAATAACTCTATGATATTATTTCATGAATTATGTAAATATCGAAAGAGAGCAAACTTTTATGTATTTCTTTGAATGGCCTTTAGCATGAACAACAAGAAAATGTATTTGAATTATTATTACATTAACAAGTTTATTTATACAATTAACTACCTATATACAATATATCAATAAGAATGTTGTGTAATTTTTTTAACATAGATTTAAAGAGGATTTTTTTTTCAACGGCGTTGGCCATTCATACACTAACATTCTAATTATTCGATTCTGTTTATAATTTGTATACATAAAAATTATGAATCTGTAATGACATCCCAAACTTTGCAGATGCGCATTCTATGTACTTATTATTATATCAACCATAATGATTCACTTAAGTTTTAATAGAAATTAGTATCTTTAATAGTGACCACTGATTAATTAATCAAGGATTAATTCAGAGCATGGACTTATAAGACATCTGATTAGGCACAAAAGATGATGTTATGTAGTTGCTGATGTTAAAATGATATTGGTATGCTGATAATTGTACATAATAGTATATATATATATATATTAATGTAAATTCTGCAAAACATTTATCTCGTAATGTACGTTTATTTTATCTATGTTTGATCTTGTTCCGCGAGATATTAAGATAAAATGATTTTGATAATGTGCTACGATAGGCACGTAGTTATACCATTTCTGAAATTTTTTATATATTTTTACACATATTCCGATGTGTTTTTAAAATGATGCTTACTGAAGTTATAAGACGTTATTCTAATTAAAAAAATTTTTCCTAGTCTTAGCTCTCGAATTATATTTTCAAGTGCAACACTGCATTTATAATAATCTTTCGAATTTGTGGTTTTTTTTTCTTTTTTCAGATAAAGTTTATTTCAAACATTTGAATTAAAATTCCTTCGACGAACAAAAATTTCATTTAATCTCTAGGTCAATGTAATAAAAGCCAAAACGAATAAATGCGAACTTAAAAAAAAAAGGAAATATAAACAAAAAATCTACTGGCATTTGCATAGTTACACTTATTTGTTTCTACTCGCACCTATTATGTATAGTATATTTACCTGGCGTAACAGTAAACTCAGTTCAAACAGTTGTTCCGTACGTACTGAACATCACTCTGGTGGTATCTGTGTCCAGAGTAACGTCTTCTGGAGATGCAAGATCAACTTTTATAGATCCAGAATTGTTCCTTCTTCTCGTCATACCACCACCCCAATTCGATAGCGTCCAGTGATAAGTTTCACCTTCCTTATCGATGTTCGTCGTTTCTTGTGTCTCATTGTCTTTGTCCAAACCAGTTTCAATAGAAACCGAAGAATGCGAAGCTACCGAGTCGAAACTAGAATCTGCAGCTCCCCTGTAACGGCTAACATACTCAGTGGACATTTCACCGGGCGACTCTTCGATCGCTTTCAATATATTCTGACAAAGTTCCGAATCGAGGGGAATCGGATTCTCGGAGTCGCGATTATGAATAGTAACAGCAATGTGTGCCGGATGCGGAATGGGAAGCGGAATGAGCAATTTTTCTGCACTGTAAGGACGAATTTGTCGCTTCCACGGCTGCCAACGTGTCTCTGTTGCACCGCTCGTAGACGTTGTGCGTCTTCTGATTTTCGTCGATGTTAAAAGTCCTCCAGTATCACTAAAAATACAAACGATTCTTTAAATTCTATTCCACAAGCTGTGATCAATATTATTAAATTAAATATCATTAATATTATAATAATTGTTTAACAACGATAAAAATTTAGAATATCTTTTACCATCGTTTGTCAGACTTTCTGCTGTTACTAGTCTGTTTGGCTCGTGGATTGAAAGCTGAAACTTCTAGATAAGGGCTATAAACTTGTATATTTCCGCGGGGTGCATAAACTGCACCAAGCAAATCCGGCCCGTTAGTCCCACCGATTTCAGTGCTATGAACCATGTCTGTGTAACGCGACAAATCGACTCCCGGATGCGGTTCCAGTCTGAATTTCGTATCTGCATCGTCGAGAGGCTGGAGGAAATTTAAACTGAAAATGTCTGCGTACATAAGGCCAGCTAAACCAGCCCAATCACCGATGCTTAAACCTTTGTTCTCCCAGAAATCTTCCTCGTTTCCTGATAATCTCGCGAACACATGACTAGGATAAAGGCGTTCCAGCATAAGTGCCCCTTGTTGTATTACCACCTTAAAGACAAAATTGCATGTATAAGAAATTTTAGTAGTATTTATCAAATAACTGAGAATCAAAGATATTCTGATAATTACCTTCAAATCGAAGGTAGTAAGCTTTATTTTACTTCTCACGACCATTCCAAGACCAGTCTGCAAATTTTTTCTACGCCTGTCTAATTTTTCGTGCAACACAGCGATCAGATCTTTGGCTTCTTTCTCTAACGATTTGTACGGGTCTTTCATTTTGGCAAGGCTAGCAGCGAACGGACCAAAACAGGCTTCTACGAATTGAGTGAAGTCCCTCTGAGGTTGCGTAATTAATCGTTCTGTCTCTTGCTGAAAGGCTAACAATTCGTCTAGCTCTAGTTTTGCTTCGAACGCAGCTAAAGCTTGCTCAGGCCTAATCTATAAGTAAAAACGAAACACGTAGCAATTGTAATTATTTTAGTTTAGATTAATTTGCGATACTTACTTGATAATAATAATCAGAAGTCAGTCCTGGTCCAGCTATTCTTTTAACCACAAAGCTATCACTGGCAGGTATACGACCTCTGTTTTTTATTACTAAATGGAACATAGTCGTGTCCCAGACCACTCTAATCCAATAACGTATCACAGCAACTATATACAATAGTCATACATTACAAATATCTAAATGATCAAATTAATCTTTTAATCCATAATGAGCACACGTTATACTATACCTGTAAGTATCACAAAAGAAATAATAGGACACAAAATAAGAGCTACAATTAACGCAGCGATCGGTTGTAGACAGCCTTGTATACCGATATTCCAAACTAACGCTTCCATAATGACCAAATATCGATTTCTACTTGGTTCTGGGCTATCCAAATCCATGATGAGAGCCATGAATGCATGCAACGCTAAAGTAATTAAAGGCATCCTAAATTAAAATAAAAAGGGGGAAAGGGGAAAAAGAAGAGCCATTAACATTTTATAATTATGATACATTAAGATATGTAACAACATAATCAACGAACCATAAAACAGCAGTAAGCGCAATGAGAAGTGATCCTAAACTCGTAACTATACAAACGACAGGAAAAACAAATAATATGATGAGTGTTCCTAAGAGACCTTTCACACCATAATTCCATAATCTATTTAAATGTCTTGTCATTCCTTTTCCAATAAATCCTGCAATATAAGGCCAGATTATTTAATCGACAATTAAATATTACATAATCTTTTAATAAAATTATTAATTTTATCAAATATACCAGTGTCCGGTTCCGTTTCAAAATGTGTCCGGCTTTTGCTAATGTGTCTCCAAAGTGCTATCAACCGAGAACAAAGAGTAGGCATTTGAGATGACTTTCTGGGAAACAAGGTTCCATTCAATTGACTCAATTCTAGATCGGGAGTAAAGGGTTGTACGAGTAGCAAAGCTCGTATGGAGACTGGACTACACCACGGTACTGCCACGCCTAACAAAAACATTGCATTCCAAGTCCAACACCACGTCCTGGCTATATAGTTAATCCAACGCCACATAGGCCACCTGTTTATAAATCTCAAAATCAATTAACACAACACCACAGAACAGACAGTAAATTACTAACGTCAATTATCATTTCATTATTTAAACGTGCCTTGTTGTAGTTGTGTGTACAATTTCTCTTTCAACTAAAAAGACCGGCTGACTCGGATCTGCGCGAGGTGTCGTGATGGATGTCGGAGTGTTGCTAAGAACCGTCGGTATGATCTCAGACTGGCCTTGAAAATTGCGTCTGATGATCCAGTTTTTTGGAAGCCATATCTGGGTTGGCCATTGGAAGCTCCTTGTCGGTGTTTTGACTTTGCGCAACTCTTTTAACAACACTGGCTCACGCTGAGAGAAACGAACATCTCCCAACACTCAAACGTACAAACGTAAAAGTGTTTATAACAATCTATAAATCTACGTACCTCTTTCATAAAAGTTAAATCGCGATTAAGAAAGTAGACTGTTTGCTGTAAATTTTGATGAGTGCACAGTGTGAGAGCTTCTTCGTGAGCACTCCACTCGCACTCCTCGATGAACTTCTCCTCGACCTCTCTCATTCTATCGCGCATCCATGGTTCTATTCGCGACAGAACTGGATGTTCGTTCTCTATATGGCGCTTCAGTGCCTCTTTCGTTTGCAGTAGCTTACGTTGTACAGTTTTCACGGCTCGGTGCATTAATACGACCGATTGTGCTTGTTGAACCAACAATTGAGCGATTCCGTTACCAAGATCAAGTATATCCGGATGCGATAAAATATTGGAGAACACACGTTGCAAGTATTCGCGCATAACAGCTTCGTTCACCTCCTAAAAGTAGTCACAATTAATAAGAATGTACCCCATAAATTTATGAAAACTTCGCAGCGATTAATATCAAGAATAATCATACCCTTTCTATCTCTTCGTCCGGTTTTTTCCGCGCTCTCAACTCAGATATCAGTCTTTCTCTGAAATGAAGAAACCAGCCTCGTGTCTCTCTCTCCAAAATAGCAACTAGGATCGGTAAAGCTTTTCTGATAATGTCTCTGCTAAATAATCTAAGGTCGACAACTGCTCCAGCAGGCGTTCCAAATACGAAAGGAACTGGGATAGGTAGTAGCTGCGACAATTCTCTCTCCACCTCGAATTTCTCCATCGTCGCTCGTCGAAGCTGTTTCCGCACGAAACCACATAGAAGCTCCAGGGAGTCTTCATACTCAGGCTGTAATTTATAATAATAAGATTTATGAAAATCTTAGGAAATAATTGTTTCCTTTCTATCACTCATTTCTATCAGTACGGACGGGCTTTGTTGAAAAATAATAATCCAACGTGACAGAAATAAATATTTTAGGAAAATTATACACAACTTACTCTGCATACTAATTCGGCAACCAAATATCGACACCGCTCCTCCCTGATTTTGGCATCCAAATTATGCGCTTGAAGGGATGGCACGCCAATTATTATATCTAAAAGATGATAACGGTCAATTGTAACTTAAGTAATAACTGGCGAAAAGTCCCTTAGAGGGACCTTTTTCAATGAATTCGTACCAAGAAGCCGTAGCAGCCCTGCCAGTAACGCCCTCAGAGATTGTGAAACACTGAAACAATGGGAGACTAGCCTGGCTTTCGCCGTAACTACGAGGAATCTAGTTGCTAAAGCAAGATCCCGGAGCAGAGCGTCTCGCCTTCTGTCTCGTCCACGCTGAAGTAGACCGCTTAATCTCCATCGGTGTGTCTGTCCAGCGAAATTGATCGAATCCACCTCAAATTCCCTGAAAGACAAATTCTTTATTAATACGATTGACTTTGGAATAAAAGGAAAAAAAAAGTATATCGACAAAATCCAGAAACAGAATGTTATGTTACGTTATGAATATATATATGTATATAAACGAAAAATACATTTAACATATACAGGTATATAGAGAACAAAAATATCCTGGAAAATGTACATGTAGGGCTGTTCCAGTGAAACGTCCAAAAATTTTGCATCGTTGCAGTGTCTCTAATAATATGCAGCGCATAACTAATGAAAAACATCTTACAACAAGGTTTCTACACTTTGTTCGTGAAACTAAAGCTACTAATAAAACTTGTTCGCTATAATACAAGCATATTTTAAACTCTCTAGAAATTAAACAACACAACCTACACCGTACATTAATTGTGCTTTAACAGCTAGAATTTGCATCATGCCGTGATTGCTTTGGGTAATTATTTGTTACAAGCTGTGCTCTGTCTACGAAACCCCTCCACAGACTAGATACAAATCATTTTTTCAGTGAATTCGTGCACGTGTCAATGCCTCGTTTCATACATTTGATCTCTGTCCGATAAATGTAAATTAATCGATTGTCAATTAATTGCCAATTTATTGCCAGGTTGAATGTCAGATGAAGACGGAGGAGACCATGCTGTTTTATGATGGTAGACTTTGGGATACATTTTCGTTAAAAAAAAAGAAAAAAAGAAAAAAAAGAAAAAAGAAATAATCATGAGAAATGAATGATTCCAGTCTCCAAAATCACTGTACAAGGTAACGATTATTGGTTCGGTCAAGTTTGAATATTGTGTGACGCTGGTGTGTGACATACCCGCATCTTCGAATGCTCTCCAATTGAGTGGCATTCAGCTTCTTCGGTTTTCCGTACTTCTCCTTCTGAAAGCTTTACAAAAATTGTTAGAAAATACCAGACACGAAAGAGAACAAACAGTTTGGTTCTACACATTCTCATAAAAACGAGGCACCATTTGGAGTTTCATTTGTTCGTTACTTTCACATTGTTAAAAGAATTGGTGAATTTTTGTTTTCCTTCTATTTAACACGTGATATGACATACGTTGACATTGACGTACTTCAATAATTAAAGGATAAGGATTCCTGAAAGATTTTGCAAGGAAATTCAGTTATCAAATTCCTTCTTCATTTTATAAATTTGCATCGCCAATGAATTCACACGTTACATACTTCCTAAAAATTTGCAAACACTTCCTGAAATTATCTATTTGACATGTATGTATTCCTTATCCTAGGAAAACTAGCATCTGCATCAAGTGAAAGTTTCATTCAAGCCTTAAAAGTAAGTATCCGTTAGTAGGTACTCGCGATTTTCGTACTGTGCGCAAAAAAATCGCTAATAATCTAATTCTAAAGAATACAATCGCTACGATATCGTGTTTCGAAGCATAAATTCAATTTAAGTACAGACGTCATTAATCCTTAAGTTGCAGCAAGATTCGTCGAAGATCCTTTGAAATTTCTTTATAAAATATTCTTCTTGATCTTATTTCAGATGTTAACTATTCAATTTCCTAATCTGTACTGTCCAAATTGACAGCATTGAAATTAATTCATAAAACTCCCTACTATATGTATGTATGTGATTCAAAGGAAAGCCTGAAATTTATATATACATATTTTTTTTTACTTCTTTTCTCTTCATTTACCCTTTTGTTTACAATGCATCTTCCAACTAAATCTATACACAAACAAGTCGCGCACTTTTTGCACTTCTCGAAAATTAAAGTTTTGAATTCAAATCTTAAATCATCAATCTTGTAGCATTGAATTTCGTCGATGAGCATTGCAACTGCAGGTTTAAGGACGTCCTCAACATGAGGGCTTAAGAATTTGACACTACTACTACCTAAAATGATAAAAGGTAAATAATTTGAATAGTTATTTCGTTGCCACAAGAAGACCTACCCTCTTTTGCTGATGCTTTCCAGCTGCTTCTTGGTCAGCCTCCTTGGTTCACCCTTGCTATCTACAGCAACCGAGTCCAATTCGTCGAAGCTGGGTGCGACGAACAAATCCTTCAAGTGGTGTTTCTTTCTCGCGAGCGTGTCTTCACCCTCTGTACACGTGGATAATGGCGGCGGCAGGACAATAGGAAATGTTCTCCAGTGATAGAGGAACTGTTGCGCAACTTCTTTGATGTTGTGCACCAGTGCCTCGACCTCGGCCGGTGCACCACGCAAATGCGACGTGTCGAACTCCACCGGCTCTTTCTGTTCACAGACAAGGATTTCAATATAATACATTATAGTAATACAATATTACAGTATACAGTATATAGTAATATAGTAGTAATACATCAATATAACATATTATACAAATAATGCATTATATTGATATAATATAACAACATAAATACAGTGTAAATAATTCATTGTTATTTAACTATTTTTCTTTTTGATAATAAAATTTTTTCTCTATATACAATTTTTGAATAAATGGACTCGTGTGTGTTTCTTTTTAATGTAATCTCGTGTAACTTTCAGTCGTTGGAACGAACAACGGAGACGCCTTTTCCAAGTTTATACTTTTTAACTAAAACTACTTTTTTCTGCTCCAGAAACGTTATAGCATTTCCACGCGTAATGCGTACGAATGAAATGAGTAATTAGCGTCAAATTAGACGTCCACGTTTCTCCGTTCCTTCGTATAACAGAAATGCAACAGGCCTGTCAGAAAATACACTCTAAAACATGGGTGTCCAACCTTTTCAGATCTTCTGGGTCTCATTAGTCAACAAAAATTTGTTGAGGGCCGCACGTAGTTTACATGTCTTTTTAGTTCAATGTATATTATTTATAAGGATGTTAAAACAACTTTTATAGTACACTGATTATACAATATATTTATATTATAATCATTGAGAATATATTTATATTATAATATTGAAAATATATTTATATCAATCATATACTGAAATCAATCATATCATTGAAGGTATATTTATATTAATTAAAAGAAATATGAAAATTTTTAATGAGAACACTGAAACAGCTTGTCTTTCAGATACCAGTTCATCAACATCTGATATGATACAGATAATGGCAATAGTATTTTCAAGATGCTCATCTAAAATCTTGGTTTTTATTTCGTTTCTTGTGTGCTTCATATGGGAAAAAAATCTGCTCGCAAATATAAGTACTTCCCAAGAAGGGCATCATGAACATCCATTCAAATAATAAAATTCTTATTCAATCATTCCAATTTAGTGGTTCTACAGCACACCTGTTCTAAAACATTGTTCAAAACAATATGAGAATTACTTGCAATTAGTACTAACGCCAAAAGGATAGCCATTGATGAAAATAATGCTTTCCGTTCTATCTTTATCTATTTGTTTGAAGCGCTACTTTCTGTCAGATGAGATTCATATATGTACCTCAGGCTGGAGTCCATCTCCGTTTTGTCGGTGATAAGGTTGTTGGGTGTAGACCTGGTGATTCGGTCCCGTGTTGGCGGAGTTGACGGAAGCGGAGTTCAAATTGTGGGGCATCTCGCGCGTGAAAAGCGTGCGCGGCGGCTGGGGTCAGCTGCCCCGTATACCGACTATCTCCTCATACACCATGCTGCTGGTAGCAACCATTTATCATTCCACGCCCTAAAACATCAATTACAATTCTATAATTATTAATCATGCGTCCGGTATTCATTAATATTTATTACACTATGCCAGCTATCGTTAATAACGCGTTTTTAACATTTGGTGGAAGATTGCCATAAATTTTACTTTCAATACACGTAATTGTAATTAGACGTAACTTGTAATTTCGAATATAAAATTGTAAACGTGAAGTTAAAGTAACAAACATAAATGTAAAGTTAAAGTAATAAAACTTTACTGGCTAATAGTTGATGAACAATTATCTTTCACCAACGCTAAATACTAGCTTGCTAAATGCTACTAACTGCACAAAAAAAAAAAAAAAAAGAAAGAAAAAAAGGTTCTCTGTTCCGCAACGGGGAAGGGTTAAAAATAACGGGAGGCGAAAGTTTAGCCTCCAATCTTCCACGTGACTTAATATTCAGAAAAGTACAACGAGAAAAAAATCGAATCTCTTAGCGTGTCGTGCCAGTACCGGTGACTGTAGTATCGTGACACAGATCGTGAATGGAAGTGCATATTGTAGCGCATAAAAAACGGAGTTCCAGTTTACGTCGAAGCGAGATTATACATATAGAGTATCACGCGAGTTGCTTTGCAACGTGATTAATTGCTGTGTGTAACAAGGCGTCTTGCGAAGTGCGCCGTTTCTTTCGAAAACTGGAGGTCCAGATAGATTCTCCGTGGAAGAAAAAACGCGAATTCCTTGAAGGAAGTCGGTGTTTTAACATGAATCACGCGCGTACGTGTGCGCGTTCTACGTAAAGCTAGAGTTGATTCGATGCACATGCCGGGCAAGAGAGCAAGAACTGGAATGCTCAGAATGTTAATCGTTTAATGGGATATAATCGGTTAATGGGAGTCTGCATTCAACCGAAGCCTCCCATACAAGCCGGATGATCGCGTTTCGCCCCTCGTGCGACTTCTCCTTCACTTTTTATTCCGACAATGAAGATCAGCTTGCCGTTTAGAGATGAACTATCGAGACAAATTCAGGAAACCAACCTGGAAAACGAGATATCGTTATACACAGTCCTTATGATCAATTGAATTTACGAATTTGCTTGTTTAAGTAAATAGATTGAAATTGTTAAATGTACATAAAAGGGCCAATGTTTATAAAAGGGCTAATATTGTATAGTATTGTATAGAAGTTGTTATGATAAAAGTATGTTTATAAAAGGGCTGATATTGTATAGTATAAAAGAGCTAATATTGTATAGTATTGTATAGAAATTGTTATGATAAAAGTATGTTTATAAAAGGGCCAACATTGTATAGTATTGTATAGTATAAAAGGGCTAATATTGTATAGTATTGTATAGAAATTGTTATGATAAAAGTATGTTTATAAAAGGGCTAACATTGTATAGTATTGTATAGTATAAAAGGGCTAATATTGTATAGTATTGTATAGAAATTGTTATGATAAAAGTATGTTTATAAAAGGGCTAACATTGTATAGTATTGTATAGTATAAAAGGGCTAATATTGTATAGTATTGTATAGAAATTGTTATGATAAAAGTATGTTTATAAAAGGGCTAATATTGTATAGTATAAAAGAGCTAATATTGTATAGTATTGTATAGAAATTGTTATGATAAAAGTATGTTTATAAAAGAGCTAATGTTGTATAGTACTGTATAGAAATTGTTATGATAAAAGTATGTTCATAAAAGAGCTAATATTGTATAGTATTGTATAGAAATTGTTATGATAAAAGTATGTTTATAAAAGGGCTAATATTGTATAGTATTGTACAGAAATTGTTGTGATAAAAGTATGTTTATAAAAGGGCTAATATTGTATACTATAAAAGAGCTAATATTGTATAGTATTGAACTCTTCTCGTTATTATAATTTCTTTTTTTTTCACTAAAATCTGCCACATTACAAGATTGAAAAGAAACAGAAAATTATCAAGCCCGCTTCACTTTTTAAATTCAGCCCCGTTGACTTTTTAAATTCTCGGTTAACAGATTGATAGCTGGCCGTGTTTCCCCATCATTTTTATGCAAATGCGACTCCTTTCAGCGTGCAGTCAACATTTAATCCGACCCCGTGTCGCATGCATGATAAATAACCGCCGTAGTTACAGGTTGTAATTATCGCGGAGTATCATACTTTCGTGCCAAGAAGAGACCCCCGCCGTTCGGCTTTTTCTATCCTTACCAGGGGGGCACATATTGTTCTAGCCTGGCAGAATACCAACATCGTCTCACGTTTCCCATCGGGAAACACAACGATACCTCATATACTTGGAAATAATCTGTATCCCCTGCTTCCTGTCGCTTTAAAATGATTTACAGTGCTCTTTTCACTCGGAGGATGGCCCCAAGTACTCACTCCGAGTACTTACGTTGCCGATGAAAAATTTCCCAAGGTTTCCTAATTTCCCTGTCTCCGTCGATTCGCCAAATCAATAGCACACTCGTCAATCGAGATTTCCTCTCTTGTTTCTCTGCATTCTACTATAAAATTGATTGACGATTTGTAATTCTAACTGAAGGCACTAAGGATTGAATATTAACGATACATACGTGTTTAAATTCTTTCTAAAAATAGCAATTCCTTTAATATATAATTCGAACGATTATGGCATCTCATTCCCATCCACGATTTATGCCCATTAATTTTTCACGCCTCTTTTTCCCATCGCCGACCATTATTCCTGATATTAGGAGCACGCTGTAATTTGCGATATTGTACCATTTTCTCGTTAATTGCGCTAATTGACTGCCGTCCTCGTGTACTGTACAATTATTTTGCTCAATTCCATCGCCAGAGCCTATAATTTGAAATGATGAACAGGGAGATCTCTACCCAGTCAGATTCAAATGCCGACTGAAATTTGATCGGATACGATTCCGAAACAAACGAGGATTTTCTCTGAAAAATTCATTGCAAATTAATCAACAATCTCTGAATCTTCTGTGTAATCCGAGCCCAAGTTAAAAGTCTACATTTCAGTTTAAGGAAGTATTCGTCATGTGCCATTTTTAAACGTAATTAATTAATTCCAATAAAATAATAATTCCGACAATAATTATAAAATAATATTAAAATGAGATTAATAATTTTAAGGTAATAATTATAAAATAATATTAAAATGAGAGTAATAATTTTGAGATAATAATTATAAAATAATATTAAAATGAGATTAATAATTTTGAGATAATAATTATAAAATAATATTAAAATGAGATTAATAATTTTGAGATAATAATTATAAAATAATATTAAAATGAGATTAATAATTTTGAGATAATAATTATAAAATAATATTAAAATGAGATTAATAATTTTGAGATAATAATTATAAAATAATATTAAAATGAGATTAATAATTTTGAGATAATAATTATAAAATAATATTAAAATGAGATTAATAATTTTGAGATAATAATTATAAAATAATATTGAAATGAGATTAATAATTTTGAGGTAATAATTATAAAATAATATTGAAATGAGATTAATAATTTTGAGGTAATAATTATAAAATAATATTAAAATGAGATTAACAATTTTGAGGTAATAATTATAAAATAATATTAAAATGAGATTAATAATTTTGAGATAATAATTATAAAATAATAATTTCTTTTAATTCGTCTAAACCGAAGCCTCCCGGCAACGAAACAGTTAAAAAAAGAAAAGAGAAAGTTGAGCATGGCTAAAAGAGAGAGAGAGAGAGAGAGAGAAGAGAAGCAAAAAGAAGAAAAATCGTCTGCCGCGGTGACTGCGACGTGTTAATTATCCAAATGTTCCAAGTTCACGGTTCGAGTGATCGACGAGTTTCACCGCTCCGCTTTGTACTCTCCATCCACTTCCGGGCTTTCAGAGGAGACGAGAAGAAAACAGAGCAAAAAGGATCCGTCTTCTTATCAAGATTTAAAATTCCGTCTGACGCTTTGCAACGCAGACAGTCGATACGAATACATACAGAGGGAACACGTGAGAGGAAGAATAATAATGGCATGTGCACAAAGGATCTACCAGCGGGTTTTCTATTTTTTCCCTCCCCTCGTTGAAACTTTCCTTCCAGTATCTCGTTGACGAACATATTGATTCTAACCGCTCCTCCCTAATCCATCAAACCTTCTTAGAGAGGAGGAAACTTTTATTTAAAAAAAAGAGAAAGAAGGAGAAACACAGAGGCGAATGGACGATGCAATGATTTCAAAGATCGCGACATTAGCAATTAGGAATTCGTTGCTCTTGAGATTACGAGATGGCCTCACGTCTGATGAAACCTTCCATGTGTTTCGCATATGCCGACCATGTTTATAAGAGTAGGCGAGTGTTTGAATACCTTTGTCAGTCCGCTGTGCATACGTCAGGGGAAACATTTGCAACTTTTCATCAGAACTTGATTCGGATTAAAGCGGATTGCGTGCGGTCGCGAGGCGATGCAAAAGAATATTTACGACTCCGCTCGACTGCGTTCCAAGTAGTATAGTGGCACCGGGCACGCTGGCTTTTGACCCACTTCGAACCTTGCAAGCTCTCGTAACCTTAAAACAGCACTGCTATTCCAGTCTATGTGCCACCGGTTACATGTTTGCCCGACTTGCTTTAGCATGCTGCATGCTAGCACCACCAAATTACGGGAGGGGGAAAAGAAGTCTTCATTTTCGTCGATCAACGTTCTCCATAAGAATCCGTTTAATTCATCGATTGAATAACGAGATCCTCCGAGCCTACCATAGTCTGTAGGATGGAGAGCAAAGTCTCTAGATTAATCGTGGATCGAACATATTAGAGATTCTTGGATGGAAACTATGTAGATTGAAATCGACACGAATCGAAAGAGTTCCACTTTCTCGATAGTTCAATTTGAATGATTTTAAGTCAAATCACTCCTTTCATGCACGCTGTAAATGTACAATACAATCGGTATACATTTCTGGAAGTCAGTTGTCAGACATATCTTCTGAAAAAACAAAGCCCACATAATATGCTCGATTAACACTAGAACTACCAGAGTGGTCA